GAGGGTTAAGTGGTCGCCAAATTACGTCAAATATGTTGGAGTTTCCGCGCGTGACTTGGCCGTGTGAGGGAATAAAGCAACATAGGCGAACATTTCCGCTAGGCTCATACTGCTTTGAACAGCGGATAAAGGATGAGATAAATGTAGCCTATTAGATAGAAAGTGGAATGATACAACTTTAGTACAGCCCATGCTGAGTCGTTAGATGCTATAAGTTGCGGATAAAACCATTGGGTAGCCGTAATATTAGACATAATTTAGACAACACATCCTCCCCGTCTACCCTGGTTTCTGCACCCTTGAATAGGTAGTAGCCATCCGTTGAAGTGTTGTTATCGCACTTTTGCGAGACATACTACGCTGCGGTAATCATTGTGGGGGGCCCTGAGAAACCAGTTATTTAGGTTGCTTGACTGATCTTGAACTCGTTTCCAGTTGGTTCCGACTAGATATTTTGCTCACGATTGATATATGGCTATAAATCCTGCTAGGCTCGGGCACCAGCCACACTACCCGCTGAATCTTTAGCCTGGCCCGCCTAACGTGATGGCCGGGCTGTCCTTAACACCGCCTCAACTAGCGAAGGGAGAATATAACACCCACGTATGTTGGAAGTTGTATTTATTGACGATGATTTGCAGAAAGCGTACAAGTAGATAATCACACCACAACGAAGCTGCCAACCTCTTGTCCCTTGAAAGTTATGTTGGTCACAATATGCTTTAATCCGCTCGGATAAACAAATTTATCGTCGGCGGTGAAGCGGCAGAGATTCGATTGAGTTGGAGAACTACTTTGGTCCGCTGCAGAACAATTAGAACAATAAAGACAGTTTTGTGAGCTGGTACAATTCATCATTCAGGTGGCAGAACCTGATCGGACAAAATGAGAGAGCAATGGATTGTTCGCTGATACATCTTAGAGAGTTGAGGCCCGTAGTATGGGACGCAGATTGCCTGAGAGGCAGTGATTTAGACATAGATTACCTGCTAACAGTGCTAGAACAATCCACCGCACCACTGCCAGAACAGGTGAAGGGGGACATTGGTTATCTCTGACGGCCTAAAGTGTTCATGATACTGGCTGGTGGAGGCCATCCACCCTTTCTGGGAACAGTTGTCTGACAGCATTTGTTCTATTTGCATCGGCACTGAGGATAAGATTTTGTGTTGGCCAGGAAAGATTTGGTCCTATGAAGTAGTGAGTTACGTCCGGCCCGCTCACAGCTGTTACTGTGTGCGCCAAAGTTACCTTGGTATGGACTATTTCAGGAATGGTGTAGCGGCTAAAACCGGCTTGCTATGACCTGAGTACAGGGAACTTGTCTCTGCGTCTTACTGTATAGCTGACAAAACTTTCCTTGAGACATGTGCAGTCATGAATTGCTCCAAATACAGGGAAACAACAATTATTCTTAGGAAAAATCTGTCGTTCTGTTAGACGATAAAAACACATCAAAAACTCAAAATTACCTCAATAGTGCTGTTAGGCAGCCATACAGTTCAGTCAAAGTACAAAACGAGTACTCAGAATCAAGTGGAATATACCCGACAAGGTGAGATCAAAAACTTTCTCCACAAGGATAACACAGCAAAGCTTCCTGCATACAGTTTGATTTCAGAAGCCGCTTCATACTCTCAAAGGTTGTCGCGTAGGATTTTCGAGCTTATTTTGCGTTATGCGAACCGGAGCGGCATCGAACTCATCTATGGGGAGATCCCTGTATTGTGGTATTTCCGATTGGATTGAAGGATGTTTTTCGACCGAAGGCTCATTTCCCTCATGCCTTGTAGAAGTTGGGATATCAGCGGTGTCGCATGGGTATGCATGTTGCATCTTGGCTTGTTTAGATTTTCATTCCAGACTAGTCTCGGTTGGCTCATATTCCCCTAATGCATTCAGGCCTACCTCCGCCCACTTCAATGGAAAATAGAGATGGACTCACTTTGTCATGGAGTTTCAGTGCTGGTGAGCAGTGAATTGTTTGGTTACTATAATTGATGTCCTTCTGATAGAAGGCAAGAACTTTGTTATTGCTTATTCGTATACTGTTTTCAGAAGACTAGTTAAATTCAATCAGAAGTATAACTGTACATTCTGCTGACTTTTATTCACAGGCCTATATGTCTATTTCGTTATCAGTGAAAGGATTCCATTTCGGTTTTCCGTTGTTTCGGGTTGGTTACTGTGCATGGTAGTCTGAATATCAGGTTTAGTCTTCTGAAACCAGCAACAGGTCCAGGACACTTACTACCTGCATATTTGACATCTCCTTTAGATTGCAAATAGATGTATACCACTTTCTTTGTGGATAGTTTCCCTGGGACTTATTTCCCTAGAATATTTACTGACAAAACCCAAGGGATATCGATTCCTAGGTTAAATACCCTACAGACTTTTCATTTCATATTCAGTTGTACTGCGAGAACAAATTTTTAAGTGCCTTATTGGACAGTGTTATGGCCAGAAAGGCGAACTACGCAACTTTGTGTAAATGGACGGTCGATATATATATACATCAGAACAGAAGTCTAAGTAAAAGGGATCGTGGCAGCATCACAATCACCTGGTTTATATTCTCCACCAACCCAGATTTTTGCCAATTTATTCTTTCTCATTATTTTCATTCTGCTTTTTGTTCTTACAACAGCTTTGTTTTCGTGTGTAACCTCATCTTACCTCACATTAACTTTATCAACTCACCTTTATTTCGCATTTGCTTTTCTATCATCCCTTGTTCCCTTGAATTTTCTACTCATATGATTGATTATCTGCTTTAACGGCAACTACGAATACCAGAAGCTGCGCTGCAACTAAAGCGCAGTTAATTTAAATCCAATGTGGGTTAATCTTATTATTTATCTGCATTTCTAATTGTGCCAAACTTCGCGATTTACTGACAAGCAGAAAGCAGGAACTGGTCTCATAGAAGTCAGTCAAAGTTTTAAAGCATTAGTCAAAAAGTGTTTGTAATCAACTGACAAACAGTAAGACTAGAGCACTTAATGTCAAAATAAAGAGCTTTAGTTGATTATAATATTGATTAATGGGTCGAATCAGTGCACATTTCCCACAAAACAAAGCGACATCCATGGCTTTCGCTTTTCAGAGAACCACAGTCGTCCATCGTGCTGAAGTTTCTGTAGCAACTTTGTTTACAGAGTGGGGTTGCTAGCCTCACGCCTGAGAAGGGGATTGTTACATTAAAATATAGTTTACAGAGAAGCGACCTTGTGGGTTGCTCCCCTTAAAACCAGAAAAACAAGGAATAAAACAATCAGAACAACACCAGCACAGGGAAATAATTCACAACAACAATAATAATATCACAGTCAAGTACAGTTGACCAAAATGATTCCAAAATCATAGACTCAATGACTTGAGCCAACTTGAACATGTAAATGCATCAATATATACAATTATAGACATTAGTTAGTGTTAAACAAGCACAGAGTGGCAAATAGATAGTTATAGGTATTATCTATCAACAGTATTATATCCAAAGATTCAGTGTTTCAAAGGCAAAAAATTGTAATAGTTTTTTACAACTTTTTGGCAAGATTTTCCACAAAAATAAGAGTTCTAGGTAACTATGTAACTATGGAGATGAGGCAGTAACTCATCTGAGAAGACATTGCGAAATGGTCGCGCTATGTCGTGAATTGGCAGAAGTTAGAATTCAAGGACCATTGGATCGGGTCCCAGTGGCTCAATGGTCTACGAGCTCGCCTTGTAACCAGAAGGTCCTGAGTTCGAATCCCGGTGGGTGCGTACTGCTGATGAGTCCCAAACTAGGACGAAACAGCTGTCCAGTACTCCCAGGTTTTCCAGTGGTTCTCTAACTGATGTCAGCTCATGATGAAATCCTCCACGCAATCAAACTATGTAAATGTAAATGCCGACATTGATGACGCCTATTTTAGCTGTATCCCGCCTCTTTAGTAATATTTTGCTAATACATTAAAAGCAGTTGTTTCGTAGGCAGTCTTCTAGCTGAAAACTGCCACAGCATTTGCCCAGTGGACACACACTAAGTTAGGTAACTATCAGTTTTTTGGAAGAATACTCCTCAGCGCTCTCAAGTCACTGTCCGTAAAAGCTACGATCATGAGCCGGTTCTTAACTGATTCAACGTCTCAGTGATAAATGTTAAATTCTGACTAAACATGGTGTATAAACAAGACGACAGCATGTCACATGGCGTGCATGCGTCCAGTGAGCTTAAGCATTGCTGGTAAGTTTCAAATGTTAACTGAAAGTAAACACGTAGGGTATGAAATTTACAGAAATACTCGTTCTATAGGGACCATCTATATAGTTTCCTGTATAGAAAAAGCCGAGCTAACGTTCTAGAATGTGTCATTCGAGTAGTGGGAGTACTTAAATTTCTAGAGTTTGGCAGGTGGAGTTGAATCTAAACCAGTGAATTAGGTTGGGAATCGAGTATATGCGTAAATATGCAACTCCAGATGTAAAGGTTTGGGTGTCGCAATATTGGAGAAAGATGGAGGTTAAATCCACAGCACAACGCGACCGCTGCTCAACAGTTACGGGTTTTGTGTGAATAGACAAGTGTCAGAAAAGAGCCTGTAATCTGCAGGTTAAAACCAGAACTGTTATTACGCATTCCACTTATTATGTAATTTATGTATTATTCATTATATTCCACTAACTCAGTTTTGTGGTTCTATTGTTTTTACTATTTTGTGTATTCATATGTTTGTATATGGAGCTAAGTTGTTGCAATATGTGCAGACGTTGAAAATTCTATTCTGTCTACTCGTCTTCTTCTGATTAAACGGCTACAGTGTCATTATTAATGTGCTCAAGTACTAACGCAACGTTTATTACAGGCTATTGAGTTTATGGGGATGTTTACTCCAATAATAACGATACATGTAGTTGCCATTCATTTACTCTCAAAACGATAGAGGAATTGAAAGGAACTCTAGAGAGCCATTTTAGAACCAGCATTGTTCAGTCAGCTCGAAATTAGTGGATGGATATTATATCAGTTATTGGATGTTGAGCAATGACATTGAGGCTGCTTCAAACCTGGTAATGAGAGACGAAAGGAAGAAAACTAGAGACACGGAAGGTTAGTGCGCCTGACTATTTTCTTAATAAATGTGATTCTGTGTGACTCGAAATTTATTATCTTCAATTACGGCGACCCAAACTATGTTTTGCATTTTTAGTCGGTAGTACGAAAACGAGGTCTCACGTACCCATGTCTGAGCGTCAACAGTTTGCCTTGTTGAAACAATTGGAGACTGAAAAGTGCATGAGCGTTAAAGGTATGTGCTCATTATTCACACGACCCAGATTTTCTCACGGGACTGTCAAAAATGTAGGTGTCATTTGTCTATCCCGTCTGCGTGAATTTCTGTTTGATTGACACTCTCTTGAAATCAGATTTATTTCCATGGTGATATTTTTTAAATAGTTGTTTGGTCTACGTCGATGTAACTGACTAGCCTAATGAAGTGTCTTGTATCAGTCGCATCCAATAAATATGACAATTCTCACGAACTTTAATAGATGACAATTCCTATTAGTTTGCTGACTTTGATAATGTTTAGTTAACGCCTAATTATGTACTTTCAAACTGTGAAATTAATTTAGCACATATTAGTTCCATCTGTTTCTGAGAAATGCCTGCTTTTATTCTCATCATTGGATTACTTCACTGCCTTCCAGGAAGTATGCAGATGCATAAAGATTTACTGGTTTGCGAAATAAGAAGCTGAAAATTTGTGCGCACATGGTGTGGCATGTCTTTGGTTCAATTAGATAAGATAGTACTGAGGTCCCAGTGACATTCGATTGATCAGAATACCTGTCTAGAGTTTGGCAGGAATAAGTGAATTAAGTTGAGAATCGAGTATTTATGTATATATACAACTCAGTGTAAAGGTGTAGCTCATCGTCTTAATCACTCCACTCCCAGCTGACGAGTCTGGGGTTTGGATCCCGCTTCACCTACTTGAGCCTTGACAATATCAGCATTCTTCACACCAAGTGTGGCTCATATCCTGGTTCATAAAAGATATGTATTTGGTAATTGAATTGTTACAACAAACTTTCAGACGATCTCTTTAATAATTCATTCACTCATTGTAGTGTCAGGGGAGTGTAAATTGCCCTCACGTTTCCCGTAATCCCACGCTGCTTTTTTAAAGTCGTATTTCATGCTTGAACAAGTAACTGATAAGTAGAATTATAGCAGTTGATGTTACGTCACCGGGAATACCAGAGAGTCATTATTAACAAAGAGCCTTGGACTCATGCGACTGGTTAACTGGTCTCAACTTCGAACTATGCACAGAAGTGCACCAGTTCAAGTTGCCACACCATGTAGCACACAGGAAATAAAGAAATTGGAAAGGATGATAACAATCGGAAAGAATAGTAACATGGGAAATAGTAGAGTATTAACAGATATGGGAACTCACAAAGAGTGAATGAATCTGCAGCTTTGAGAACGATTTTGAGCCTTATCAACAATGGTCTCCAGCCATCGGTTCTCAGAATCCCGAAGACCTTAAACAGGCATTCTACGCCTTCTTACATAGGTCAAACCAACTGTCAAAGACTTGAACTAATGCTATATTTTGGTTTGACAAGCCCTCATTCTTTTTCAGTTACATTAATGCATCTGTAATGAACTGAAACAGAAACGGAAGTAGTGGACACTGCTAGTTAAAATCACTTTAGATGGTAACTCTCTGTAAGCTCTTATATGGCTGCGTAAGTTCGAGTGTAGTGCCTTGATTAGTACGTTAATTTTCCAGGCACTCTCTTCACTACAAAAATTTGCCATTACACCTCTTGGTCGACAGAGTTAAATGCAGCCTTCAAGTCAATAACTGTAGCAATTGTTGGACTCCGGTGAGTATGTCTATGTTTCAGAATCTGTCGAAGGTTGAATATGTGGTCAATACACCCTCTTCCTTGCGTAAAGACTGAAGGGTTTTCTTGGGTTTATTTCTCCCGAGCACCACTCAGTCTACGCACGATTATGGACTATCTGACTCCCAGAAATTACCGAATATCTTAGTTAACTCAGACAGCAGTTCTTCACCATTGTCCTGAAACAACTGTGGAGTCATCCCATGAGATCCTGATTCTTTGCCTCGTTCCAGATTAGAGAAAGTCTTTTTAACTTCAGTTACAGACGGAGGACAGATGTCTGCATCCCATTCAGGTAGGTGTTGGATGGGCTGTGAGCCAGTTTAATTGCTCCTCAGTGTTCCTCCCGATGTTCCATTTAATTGGGGCACCATTTTTCTTGGAGATCGCCTTACTTGTCATTTGCCTTTTGTTAGGATTCGTGTATGGTTATCCAACCTATTCGCCGTTTCAAGTAATAGGACAAAACACCCTTAATATAAGTTACTGCCTTTTTGTAGTTGAATATCCCGTCGCAGTCTTGAAAAGTCTGAAAAGTGTTTAATAGAGGACATCTGTTTGCACTTCGTCATTTATTTTTACGCAAGCAGTTGTTTCCAAATGATCGACGGCTCTATACCTCAGTTTAGAAATCCGGAAGATTACGGGTAACATTAATATTTAAAATAGTAATGTAATTGTTGCCATGATTTGTTTTCTAAGGTAAGTGTACATAGTTGTCCTAATTGATTCACAGTATTCTTAAGACATGCAACCCTATATTGTTATAGTCCTTGGTCATTATTTTGCGGATACTAACGACAACGTATTATTATCCTAAAAATAAGGTGCATTACATAGTCTACATTATTCATATTTTGTGTAAGTTGAACATTTCAATCATGAAGTTTTTTCCGATTAACTTAGGTCGCTATGGATTACATATTTAGAGTGTCAGACACGCTAGGAACTAATCTGTAGGGTTTCAGGCCCAAAGCTTCAATCACCACATACAAAGCTGGAACTTGCTGGCATAACTTAACCTCTTCTTTTATAGTTTATTAATTTCTGTGTTTTACGAATTCTTTATTGTTTCTTTATATCCCTCCTTGGGCTTCTTAAAGAGATTATGCCGTGTTACTTAAGACTTTAAAGTCTGTAAGCAGGGTCATTGGCATGCTTGTTGATAGATATTTGGATTCGTGCATGCGGCTGGCTGTGGTTATCTTGTCGGATACTGAACACCCTCTTTATGTACAACTTTCTTCTTTCACCTCTTCAGAAAAACTAGGAGTAAATTCACCAGAATTTACGTATGTACGGCTAAACATGAAAATTCAATCATACCCCGTTTAGCTCAAATCGTATATAAGGTAAGAGATATAAGAAAAGAATTAACGGACCTACTCTATAATCTGTAAATAAATAGCTACTTATTTCTAAAATTATTGCCAACTTTGGATTTCGTGGTTATTTCATTTGGTTCTGTTTGTACAAGGGGTGAATTTTGCAATATGAAAATGGCATTAGGAACAAAAACACTATTTGTAGCAGTATTCATTTTATTATCTTGTGTATCTCTATCTTCAGATTGTAAACTTTGTACCAACTTTTTCATACTTCGTTTCTTTGCATAGTGTTGTTTGCTCTAATTCATTTCTGTTGCTTCCGGCTCCCACCTCTACTACTCCAAAAAAGGTAACAACTTGAGATATTGCGAGGTGTAGCGTTGCACCATTTGCTAGTTTCTGGCTGTTAACTAATTTCCAGCTACTTGGGGTTTTGCAGTTTGAATTGTTGATTAGCTGGTGTTTCAATATCATTGGCCTCTCTGAGGTACATACTGAGTTTTTTTAACTGAAAACACCTTATACCAAGTGGTATCACTTCATTTCCTTTAATTAATAGCAAGTAATTTATAACATTGTTGGGAAGTTTGAACGAAAGGTTGTAAACAGTCGCCTAAACTTCCACAGTCTGGTTTCAGTTATCTCAGTTATTCAAATATATAGCTAATAAGACTGTGTGAATATCTAAGAAGTGTTATTTTATCTGAGGAATACTGTATCCGCTGTGCAAATTTACCCGAGTAGACTCATATTTCAGTTCATATCGTATTGTGTTTCTAAGTTGTGTTCGTTAATAATATAACTCTTAGAATGCTTAATACGTGAAATCATTGCGATAGCCTCCATATCTTATCCAGTATTAAATATGAATTCATTATTCATGTTATTCTTATGAAGTGGCTTCTCCCCCATATAAGTCAGAAAAACAGGCAGCTCACTTGGCTAGTGCTTGAAGTGCTTTTACATAGAAGAATACACCATTCTTGATTTTATAACTATCTTATAAAGGAAGTTGTTTTCTCTCTTCAGGATCTGATAAACGTGATAATAGACGTTCTTTATCTATTCGAGATGTAAGTCTAGTTCGCCTGGCAAGAAATGGTGATTTGGATTCAGTAAAACAAATGATAAAGGATGGAGCTAATGTGAATGAACAAGACGAAAGTGGTAAGTTAATGTACTAGCAGTAGACAATAAATGATACTTACCTGTCATTGAGGTATTTGTTTACAGAGTGCAATCATGTTTTACAGTCTTATAGGTTGTTTAATTTAACACGGCATATTACAGGTTACCATTTTTGTGAGAGATTAAAGGCAGCTTATTAAGTTACAAAGTTTATTCTCTCTTAGGTTGGTTCTCATTTATTGGCAAGTGAGGAGAGCTAATCTCAACAGAAAATTGTTGAGTATTGTGGCCATACCAGATTCCTTTAACAACTGGTTCTGGTGCATCAGGTCCACTTTTAAATGTTTTTTGTATGGAGCTCTGGCTCATTAATTTAGAATCTACTTACAACTAATGGGCCGTGAATTCTATTTCCATTCTGTCTACGGAAGTTTAAGCAGTCAAGGAGTACCATTAGTCCTCAAACAATTGGTGTGGCTAATTACCAAGTGCACTTAAATGCAAGTCGTTGTTGAGTAAAAATTTTTGCATTTTCTTTCACTTGTTTATTTTTCCTGAATACATTTTAATTAACATTTACAGGTTGGACAGCGTTGCATGAAGTATGTATGCGAAATGTTCCACGAATGGTTGAATATTTACTACGACATGGAGCTGATCCTGGTATAGTGAATGTGAATGGTGACACAGCACTTCATTGTGCTGTGCGAATAGGATCTTTGCGTACTGTTCGAGCACTCTTATACTACAATGCCAATCCCTTAGTATCCAACCATAAAGGTGATAAGCCGTTGGATTTATGTCAAGACTCTGAAGTCTCCAGTTTTCTTAAACAAGTAAGTTTTGAATGAAAATTTTTTAATACTATACAGTTTATATGATTCCATTATTTCTTATCTCTCGATCTGATTGGTAGTAATATTTTCCATATCTCGGGTACTTAGTGATGAATCATATCTTATTGCATGTATTAGGTGTATAGATTCGATGGACAGAGATTCAGTTATCGACTTCGCTCTCCACTTTTTACAATTGTAACTCTATCCCACCATATTGTGTAGTTGTGTGTTAATGCATACAGTGTAATTGTTGCACTTTTCTCTAGATTACTTATATTCGCGGGTCAATCTGCCGATCAAATCAAGAGATAAGAAATAATGGAATTATATAAACAAAGTCAGAAAGTTGTTCGATTATCTTTATATGATTATGAGCAATAATTTGTGCTCAAAACGTCATCAGCTAATATTATAGTGGAACTGTACTCAGCCACAGTGCACAAGTTTTATTTTTATATCAGCTATACAGTTCTTTGAGTAGTTGTGCCAACAGTTAACAATAAATCATACAAGTCTAGTTCTAGTGTTGATTTTAGTTTATCCACTTCCTATTGTGCCGCAAAACTGTTCATTTAGACACTTAGCAGGCAAATCAGGCGATTGAGTAAAGAACACTCTTTTCGATAACTCTCCCACCAGGTTCTATAGTTATATAAGGAAATAATGTTTTAAGAATAATTGTTATTGGGAACATTGGTGTTTTTTAAAATAGTATCGAGTCGCTAAGACCAACAGATTACAGTTCAGAAAAGGCTTATGTGAGTGATAATATGCTTTAATATAATTATAAATTGAATATTAAACAAAATTAGGAGCAAAATTAATGCAACACTTACAGGTAGTTAGAGCAATAATAACTAGGGGTGGGAAGATTACTTGATTGTAAAGATCTGAAACGATACCCAAGGTTAAGGAAAGTAGTAGTATAAATTTCATCTGAACACATAGGTTCGGCTTTGTCTGGTGGATTCCGATGGCTTCAGTCTTTATGTTTCGAAAACGAACTTGTAAGAGGAAAGTAAGACTGGTCAAAACTTGAAATACCTTGCTAGCTTTATGTTCAGTATCTACAAGGCGAGCGAATAAACAGCTACGAATAGTCCTTGTTTGCCCCTTGCCTAACCATTTTTTGTTTATTTATTTAAAACACAGAACTTGGTCCAATATAGACATGAAGAAGATGCGCCACACAACAAAAATAAAACAGCAGCATATAAAGAAAATAGGGAAAGAGTGAATGAAGAAATTCATGCGGAAACGAAGCAAGTATATTTGACAATATCAAACAACGATCGTCGTATTACTGTTAGGAAGGGAAGAACGAAGGAAATTGCAGCATGTCCGCAATTGATTGCGTTTCTTGGCGATATCTGATAACGTTTCAAGTCACTGGTTCAGACTATCTCTCAGACCGTAACCAGGGAGTCATGAAGCAATGACCGATGCCCATCTAACACATATATCTTTCATCCTACGACGTCACGTCGAAGGCTGACCACCTCTCCTCTGTTTCCATCCAGTCCCATGACTGGCAAACTGAGACCGGTACGGAGGCCTCCTAGATAACATTCGTGGGATGTTCAAGCAACCGAAGCCGGTGTTTTCACATGACGACAATCAATGAATTGTGATCTCCACTGTGTCGAAAAACACGCTGCCTCACCCCAGAATTACTCAAACAATGATGCTATCGAACGCAAGCAATTCTACGGCGACAGTAATGATCGAATACACAGAGTCACTGCACATCCTCATCTCGGAAAGGTCAGGTTTCACACGCGAAGAACAAGACTGTGCGCACCGAAGGATTGTAAGCCCGACCTTTGACATCTTAATGACGCTGAAGGTGGCTCAAATTAGCGTTTGTCACCCTAGCTTTCGCTATACGGTTAGAAGTCTCTTCCGTCACACCTACGCCCAGCACTCACAACTACACAAATGTACGAACTTGTCGACAACTTCAAGCGGCTCACTTGCAATGGTGAGCGCAGGTACAGCTTCCTGCCAATCTTGCGACAGTACTTTGCGCTTAGAAGGTACAAAGCCCACACCATACTTACAGTGATCGTCAACTCATTAAGTACCATTTGAGCAGCCTGCATAGTGTCGCATAGTAAAACGATATCGTCTGCATACTCGAGGTTGGAAAGTCTTTCTCCAGGAAGCAGATCTACACCACCACTACGCACATCCTTCAGAGCTGACTCCAGACTGTCATCGATGGCAAGGTTAAAGAGAAATGGAGAGATTGGGCAACCCTGTCTAACCCCACTGTTGGTTGGGAACAGTGTTCATAGCTGGGGTATTTCTGTACACGGCTTTCGGGATGTTAAAAAACTTCTCAGGTACATGGTTCTTTAACAGACAGTTCCAGAGAACAGTTCTGTCCAACGAATGGAAGACAGCCCTAATGTGAATAGACGAAACGACTGTTCGCCTGGAAGACGTGTGACGGTGTTCCAACAACTGACGAAGGACGAACGTATGCATCCACGGTCTGGACGAAACCTAGCATGCTCTTGGCGAATCAGTTCCTCACGTGTTTTGAAGCGCCCTCAAAGTAAGACAGCAGCCAATATTTTAGACGAGACTAGTAGCAAACCAATGTCCCTATGGTTGTCGCACATGTCACATTGGCCCTTTTTAAAGATGTGGACGATGATGACCTCATTCTACATTGATTCTCTTTCCCGAACAATACAGCCGAAGCCATGACGAGAATTGCGCCACCATCTTCAAAAATAGCCGGGGGTAGATTGTCTGGGCAAGGTTCCTTATGACGGTTCAATATTTAGAGTTCTTTTCGAATCTCTGCGTCGATTGGTGTTTTGATACTGACCGACCAGGGAGCGTTGTAGCTGATGATGTTGGATGATGTCTCTGACGGCCAGTTAAACTGCTTCTCAAAGTGCTCTGTCCACTGTTCCAGGCTTCTTTACAGGCTGGTAATTGGCATACCATCTGCCTCACAGACCGTTTCGCTGACACCATGCTTCTTGATGACAGTGGCTCGAATGAGCTGGAATAGCTTCCTGATATTGTCAGATGCCGCCGCAGATCCCACCTCACACGCACGTTCTGACCACCAGGCTTCTCGGTAAACACTTTGATCTTGCGCGTTAGCACCCTGCTCATGTTGCTACAACAATGGCTGCTACAACGGATCGGCACTCATCCATAAGTTGCAATTAACTTGGAGGGCCCCAGTGATTTTTAGCGAAGCATTCTTTTCAGCCACAAGCGGCTTTACTCACCATTCTTATAACGTCTTGCACGTGTAGCTAGTGTTCATCTATACTATTTGGAAGGTTGCCAGTTAGCCTTGATTGTAAATCAGTCAGGTACTTCAAAGAGGTAGTAAATGCTACCACTTAGCTCACATAGAAATGTAGAGGACACCATGTATGAACCTCATCAAATCACAAAACGAATCTCGCACACATTAAAGCATGCTTGGAGTCCAGATATGTGCTCCAGAAGGAGCGGTGGTCCTGTATGCATCGACGCCCCCGGAAACTGACAGCAACGTGATCAGTGTGAGTTCATGGTTGATTGGCAGAAGGAGGACGCTGGATAGCCTTACAGCCAAGGCTGTGACGGATGTTGGTGCTGACTAAAAATAGGTAATCTGCGCAAGGCAGCAGAAGACTGTCCCCACTACCTGACCGGTGACTGCGTACACATCAGTGACCACCTAGACGACTCTCCTCTTAGCCTTGACGCCTGAATTGTGCATTCAAGTCCCCGGCTAGCATTATGGTATCTCTCTGAAGTGTCTGTTTCAGGAGGTCGCTCAGATGGTAGCAAAACTCATCCGGGCTGCACTCCGTCGGTGCATAGGCAGAGATGACAAATAGGCGCCGTCTATCTGAATTACCGCTTCGTACTCTCGTATAACCTTCCAGCCTTATAGCACACAAAATAATGCTGATGGGGATCCAGTCGATTAATGCAGCTTCGATTCTAGCGTTTAGTGCAGTACTGACATCAGCTAAGCTGGTTCCTGACGCCACATGTTTCTGGGATAAGCGAAGGTGGTACATACTACTTGAACTTCTAGATGGGGAGGATATTCGAAGCACTTCACTGGAGTCTTGAATACGGGTCTGCGGAATGAAGCCGACACCGATAGGGAGGTTGTCTAATGTTATTGCTAAACTTATCTGTTGTCCGATTTGCATCAGTGTACAAACATTGTAAGTGTCAAACTTGAACGCGCCACGGATTTTCAGGATATCCATGTTAGACGTCTCACTCGGGGCCAGCATTCTAAAGGCTAGTCACTGACATTTCAAAATGGTACAAATGGCTGAGCATTCGGACAAAGGTGGAAGGCTGACTAAAATAACGACGCCAAGGGTAGCAAAAATAAAACAAAAAAGTCTTTATTGAAAACAAGTTTAAAAAGAAATACGTTGCCAGAAACATCGCGAGTAAGTGTGCACTTACATTTCCTCATGGTTTGTTGTTTCATTGTTAGCGCTGATACTGCCTGGATGCCCTGATTGAAACAAGTGGTTGTCCTAAGGGACCACTCGCGAGCCTTTAGCTTTAAGTCTCATCCACAAGACAGCGTCAAGAGCTACATTCACATAGTTTCCGGTGACCCATATGGGTTCATACGCCATTCGATCCGATTGGATCCTGGAGCCCATGTATACCAGAGTAAATGCTATCCAAACAATCTTCCTGGTGTAATAGGACGTGCACGAACATAAGTTCCAGTCATTGTAGCTTGTTGGGTCACTGCGGTATGCAAACTCGACCACCACGTGGAGGTAGCAGCTGTCGACCGGTTGTATAAATAGCTGTAGGACCTGATGAGAAAATTAAAGAAAAGAATATTCCTTGCGCAATCCCTTTGTTTTTACGGGGTATCAGTTCCAAACTGTCAATGTCTTTTATTCATTGAAATAAAGAATATCTTAGGATATGAAGAAAATGACTTATTTATACTAGAAATTATAGTCGAAGTTTTGTGTTGATTGCAGTGATAATATCTGTATTGTTTCTGCTATTGTCATAATTAAGTTTTCTATGCTTGATAGTTATTCTGTGGTGTAGTGAGTGACCTCAGATTGATTGATAATTAAGAAATTTAAATAAAGTTGTGTGCGTTTGTTTTTAATAAGTCATATTGTTCATATTTCAGTCATGGGTTGTGTTTTTAAGGTGAGTTAGGAACAAATCGTTCAAACGGTAGATGGTGAGATACTGATGGTTGGTCAAGTAAGTTCTTATTCGCTATGCCGTGTTGTTTATCGGCGGGTTATATAAAGGCAGTATCCACAATTTCAGATGGGCTTATACTCTTTCTTAGGGTTATAAATCCATGTATTCTAGAGATATTTGTTCAAATAATGAAATGGGTATCAACTGATCGAAATTATACGCTGGTGTTAGAATACGACTGGAATAACAGTGGCTCTATTAGTTTAAGCGTGCTCAACTTCCAACCGAGTGGATCATGGGTTTGAAATCCACTTTGCTTATCCAGGTTTGTGCAGCTAACCAGGTAGTGTGATTAGTCTTTACACTGTAGGTGTGACTCATTTCCTGACTGAGTTTCAACGTAAAATTTTCAGGTTGCCACACACTCCATGTAGCATACAAAGGTAGAGAAAACCAAATTCAAAAGGACGGTAAGAACCAGAAATGTGACAGAGGGAAGAATAACAAAATGGAAAAGCATCCGGGGTTCAATGGATATAGGCGATCACAGACTGTATACATCTTCACCACTGACAACGATTGTGTGCCAATACTATCGAGTCATTGGTTCTTGTCATCCAGCTCCAATCTGGCTCAACTCAACTATCAAATGCGCTATGAAGTGATGTCAGGTTTCTGTGTGGACATCCTTAACTCTTTTCCAGTCTAATCGTTTATCGGTTAACACTGCTTGATGAGGGGGAGGTGATGTTTCGTCATGCGTAACACGTGTCTTAGTCACCTCAACCAACTCACCTTCATAACCTCACCGATTGATTCCGTCTCGTACTTACTTACTTTACTTTGGCTATCTCCTACGGGAGGATGAGCCGGCTTCATGAACATCTCGAAGCATCGCTGCCCAGGCGTGGCGATCTGATTTGTAAGAGAGTTCATGAAGTTTCATGGGAATTTGGTACGAGTGATGTCCCCAGAATCGCTCGGCCTTTTGTTCGAGAGTGCAGCTCTAGCCTTTACACAACCGTGTGACCTACAAGGCAGTAGGAGTGGAGTAGGGAGTCCACTATCCATTGGCAGCCGGTGACCGGAGTTCGGTTCATACACCTTTTTGAATGGGGCCAGACATCCAGGACATCCAACAAGCCCTTTGTCCATACATCTGCCGGTGAGCACCAGTGAGCTTCATACGCCAGTCGTTGGAGGTTTGGAATCAGGGTTAAGCCATCTCCCATAGACTGTCATCCAATGGACAGTCAACCCGGTGAAGAGCGCCGGGCATTCGCTTTCGCCCTCTCACTTTGGTGAAAAACACCTCCGCCACGTGAAGGCAGTGAGTAGGACTTCCTCAGGAGAGGCTATGTAAGACGCCCGGTCATATGGGAGCATTTCAAGAGGTGTGCGGAGGGGTGGCCAACTCGCAGCGCAAGGCACCCACCCCCGACCATCCTGAGGCTTTGGAGGCTCAGTAACCTAACACTGTATGCATAACGTGAATACTGTTCACCATGTTATGTCACTTAACGCGGGAAATAGAACTCAAACATCCGTGGTCAAAGAGAACTAACATTTTCGTGTCTTCCGTTTTTAGTTGCCATGTCTGACAGCCGTAAAAGAAGACAGAGCGAAATGGTGAATAGTACACAGCCAGCAGGATATCAGGTGTAAACAGAGATGACGTAGGTTCGCAAGTGCCACACAGGGCCTTTGTATCCGTGGTGAGATTTCGTGCGCAACCACTTCATTCCGGTTGGTGCAACTTCCCAAGTAAGTGAAATAGTCAAACGAAAATATGGAATTAATCCATGAAATCTTAAACAGTTAGTTTGAACCAGCCACGTAGGGAGGTGTAGACTGCCTGACTGGCTGAAGTCCTGTGAATGTTAAGAATCAACGGTTGGAGACAATTAGTGATATGGCTTGAAATCATTCTCAAGTGACTCAGATGCATTCGTTCCCACATACATTAAAACCCTATTGTTTTTCCATGTTGTTATTTTCTCTCCCCCTATATTTCTACTTGGTATCGTTCTTTTGAAGCTCTTGTTTCCTCTCTTTTGTCTCCGTTTGTATGCTACATGGATTGTGGCACTACGACTTCACTCCTTATCTTTAAACTGGGGGTGAGTCAGATCACTCTTGCATTGAATTGTAAGTGACATATTTGTTCTTGCTTAGAGTGTATTATGGAGATAGCAGAAACGAAAACATTTCAACTGCTTCTTTTGTGTGATAAAACACTCATATTTTTTTTTACTATATTAATTTCAGCATATTGATAACAATCAGTTAAATATGGTTTCTTCATCTGGTCATGGAAAATTGAAGGTTAGCCGTCAACATTCAACAACATCACATAATACAAAACACTTAACATCTAGCTCCTCCTCTGTTGAACATTACACTGGGTCAAAAGATAACAATAGTCTAACGAGTATATCTGACGATGTTTATTCCGATTCAGATGGTCATGATGATAATGGTAACGAAAATGATGGTGATGCTGATGATGATGGTTATTCAAATTTAGGTGTGAGCAAATCTACCACTCATTTATCGCATAGTCATAATATGATCAGTCCAACAAATAGTCATCATTCTGATATGATGAATAATTTGTCTTCTAGTGGTCAGTATAGTCATCAAACATCCAGCAGTAGTCCATCGGTGTTATCATCTGTACAAAAATGTATGCCTGATATGCACAGCTCAACAAAGTCCTGTAAGTTTAATATTATAATATGCGGTAGTATGTTTATTCCATATTGATTTGCCTATTGAATATCACACGCACACTGTGAAACAGTATTTATTACTTGATAACGTTGAGAACATAAAAATGTGGTCGACAGTTCAGCATATTACTTGTGGGAAACTACTGTACATAAATTATATTATTATTACTGTTTCCTTGGGTTCCGAGTGGAACACAAGGCTTCAGCAGCATATTTCCACTTTGTCCTATTCCCTGCCGTCATCTTTAGCCTGGCCGTACGATTGCCCCATAGTCTCTGATCCTCTACTTGTCACCCTCGGACGCCTCACTCTTCCTTTCTCAATTGGGTTCCACTCGAGCAATGGCCTCACTGACACGGGATGTCATTCGACGGTCTCCTCCCTACATATAAATATTTTAGATAATCCGTTGTCGCACATAATTTAGAGCGAAGTCTGTACGAATTACATAGCTTTTCTGACTATTTTCTATTGTAGTTTGATTGTCAGAAAAAACAACACTACTTTTTGTATATCAGTTATCAAGTGCTGATGAGGTTCATTGGGTGGTTAAACACTCAGTTTTCATCCGATGGGTGATTACACGTTCGAGTCTCACTCCACCTACTTACACTTGGGCAACTGACTAGTGTCATCATCATGCCTCACACAATGAGTGTGGCGGTTCACTTTCCACAAGAAAAAGTTGTTCCGGGTTAACTGAGATAAAACAAAGGAAAATTGTGTGTTTGCATTGAAAAATAAGTTAGAATACAATTGTGTGTGTGTTTTCATGTTAACGTTAACTCACAACTAATCATGAATAAACTAATCTAAATCACTGAGTGTCAGTGCAGAACTTAGCACAGAAGTCCACCAGTTCAAGTTGCCGCATTCCTTGTAGCATACAACAGAAGAAAAATAAAGATTCAAAAAGACGATAGTAAGTAGAAATGTGAGGGAGAAAGAATACTGGCATGGAAAAACCTGAGGGTTCAATGGATATGAGAGATCACAGAGGGTGAATGCATCTGCGCCATCAGTGAGGATGGTTTATAGCCGTATCACCAGTTGTCTCCAGCTATTGGTTCTTAGAATACCGAGGACCTCCACCAGGCAGTCTACACCTTCTTGCACGGGTCAAGCCAACTGTCAAACACTTCATGAATTTATTTGACCACGATCTAACTCTTTGCCAACCTAATCTTATCTGTAACTTAACATTGCTTGGCGAGAAAGGCGGTTGCGTGTCGTGCGTAATACGTGTTGTAGCCGTCTAAATTGGTGTAGCTTCGTAACCTCATTGATTGACTTCTCTTCTTTACCTAGGAATCTACGCTTTACCCCAATATTACTCACCGTATTGTACTCCTTAATATGGGATATAGAACACAAATATCTGTGGTCTCAGTGACAGCTGTTAAAGTAGATTGGTAAGAGTTGTGTGTATTTTTGAGTTGATGCTAACTCACAACTAATCATAAGCAAAGTAGTAATCTGCGAATAGAATACACAAAATAGAAGTAGTAGTAGCATGTTGGCTTTAAGAGTGTTTGTATCACTAACGTGTATGTCCAGAGTTCGCCTAGACCGTTACTTGATATGTTGTTCAAAGGCTGGTGAACTCATTACAAAACAACTACCGGGATTAGATTTTTGATTTAACTATGTGACAATAGAAGAGAAGAGAATTGAGATTGTTTGCTTGGAATTTGATATCTCTATATGGGGTAATTATGTGCACCTTAAATGAAAATCATCATTTGCAGCGATCTTCCGTGTTGTGCTACTTCTGCCTTTTGCGTATTGTGTTTCTTTGTCTTCTTTTCACGTCTCCCATGTGTTGTCGAAAAATTCGTTCATTTGCTCTCTTTGACGTCGAATCTATCCGTTGTTTGATATTTTTCTGCTGATGGGCATCTCTTTACATACTACTAATAAATCTTATCAGTGGTACACGCCACATTCAGGTTGATGAAGTAGGGAAGGGCGCGGGATTCGAATCCCGAGGTTGAAAGTTGAGTGCGTAAACCCTAATGAATCACATCTGATGAAAACCTATGGTACATATTATGGAGACAGAATTGCCATTGAAATTGATTTCGAAAAAAACAACCCACCAGCATTTGCGAATATTTTCCTGACATAATTTAGGTTTGAAGTCCTACGTCATCCCTCGATTTGATCAAACGCTAAAGACTGAATGGTTCGTTACAGGTTCGTTACCAGTTAAAACTGCTAATGAAATACTTACTGGTTTTATTTTCTAATGTGTTTGATTTGAAAGTATTTGTATGTTTGTGTACAGTGAGAGTGGCTCAGGCATCCAACTCTACCTATAAAATCTTTGGGGTCGAAACCTGCTTCTACTCTCATCAAAATACGAATAGTAATCAATAACAAGGTATTTAAAGTCACTATAGTACTATTATATATGGGAGGGAGGGAAAAATATCAGAGGCCTTGTGTAGCATTTTTAATAAGGCTGAAGTTCGGTTGGCATTCTGTCTGTCTGTCTTTTTTCAACATAGAACTTTGCACCGAAGTGCAGCAGTTCAAGTCGCCACACTCCATGTAGCACACAAAGCAAGAGAAAGTAGAAGAAATGCAAAATAGAAACGGTAAACAGTGATATGAGACAAAAGGAATAGTAATAACGAAGAACAATATAGTTTTATTGAATATTATAAGTCATAAGGAGTGGATGCATCTGGGCCATTGAGAACGGCTTCGAGCCATATCACCAATTGGTGTTTACCGTCCCGAGGACCCCAACAAGTCAGGAAATCTACACCTTCCCACGTGACTGGCTTAAACTAACTGTAGTGGATTTCATTGACTGATGAAGCCATGTTTTAGTTTAACCACCACTAGCTCTTTTCCATCCTGACCCTATGTCAGCTGACTAACATTGCCCGTCGAGGAACGCTATGATTAGGCATGCGTAACACATGTCCTAACCACCTCAGTCGATGTAACCTCACAGCCTCGTCTATTGATTTCCCCTCCTTACCTAGCATTCGACCTCACCTCAATATTGCTCATCCTATTATACCATTTCACACGGGAGATAGAACGCAGGCACCTATGATCAAAGAGAGCTAGCCAGTCTTTTCATGTCTTCCACTCTGAATGGCCATAAAGGAGGATGGAGCGAACTGCTGAGCAGTACACACACCCTTTGGTCAATAGCTAACCGGATATCACATCTATACCAGAGACGGCGTAGAGTGGCATATGCGAAACTAACCGTCTGTATCTGTGCAGAGATTTCGTCAGCGATCAACCCGTTGGCTGACGTAACTTCCCAAATAAGTGAAGTGGTCAACGTGCTCCACAAACCACATCACTCCCTGTTTCTAAGTTAGGAGTCAGTGTAGTCCAGTCCTGTAGCCTCATCATCTTACATTTGGCGGGAGCGAATCGCATGCCGAACATTCGAAGATTGCTGCTCCACAAGGTGTTCAGAAGACTCTGTATTTTGTCAGCGTCTTCACCTAGAAGGACTATATCATCTGCATATTCTAATTCAACGAGATTATGCCCTGGTAACAAGTCAGTCCCTGAGTCGCTGAATTCAGCCGTTAGGGTTAAATAGAATTGGGGATAGTGGGTATCCCTGATGTACACCACTAGTTGTCACCAGTTCAGATGACAACTCGCCATAAGTCCCCACCTGACTGCATGAGTTCGAGTAGAGTGAATGTCTTGATCAGTGTGGTGTATTTTCCCGACATTCCCTTCGCAGCCAAACATCACCAGAGTACCTCTTAGTCGACCGAATCGAATGCCGCTTTCAGGTCAAGAAATATAACGATTGTTGAACGCTGGTAAGTATGCCGCCTGTGTTCAGAATCTATCGAAGGGCGAAGATATGATCAATACACCCTCTTCCTGATCTAAAGCCTGCCTAGTTCTCTTGTTTTTGTTCCTTCCATGGACCGCTTAGTCTACCCATTTATTATTGAGCCTAGAACTTTAGATACTATATTAGTCAAGCTAATTCCCCTGTGATTACCACAGGAAAACTTGTCTCCCTTCTTGTGTATCGGGATAATCAATGACTTACACTAACCCAACGGGATTTCCTGTGATTCCTTGACGCAGCCTAGTACCTTAGTTAATGCGGACAGTAAACTGTCTCCACCGTCCTTAAACACCCCCGGGGTCATTCCATCAGGTCCTGCTGCTTTGCCTCATTTCAGACGAGTGATAGCCTTAGTAACCTCAGTTAGGGACGGAGGACCTGTGTCTATATTCCACTCAGGGAGGTGTTGGATGTTCGGTAAGTTGAGCGTGACTGAAGGCCAATTTGATTGTTTCTCAAAGTGTTCTTTCCAACGTCCTAGTCCTCTATCCTACGGATCACCGTAGGTTAAGTCGGGATGTACAATTGTTGGTGTCGACCTTTTCTAACCCCCTCTCCGGAGTAGAGAGATGGCATAGCTGGCATGGTGGTCATCTGAGGGAAACACGTCACTGCTCTTACATCCTTGTTCCCCAGCAGTACGACTTTGCCCACAGACCCTCAGCATAGTGTAAGAAGATTCTGACACTAAGCCGGTAACTGGTTTTAGTCTAATCGCTATCATAACAACCTTCCTGGCATGGTAGGACCTGCAGGAACAATAGTTCCAGCCAGTGTAACTTTTTGGGTCATTTCGATATGCAAGCCCGACCATCACGTCAAGGTAGCAGCTATCGGTCGGTTGGGTATGCGTAACATGTGTCATAGCCCTCTCTATTGATATGGTTTTACAATATTGTCAATTAACTTGCCCTGCGTATCCAAGACTAGACCTAACCTAAACATTACTCATCATATTTTACCACCTAACGTGAGAGGCAAAAACGACTGACGTCTTCATATTTCTCACTTCCAACGGCCACATCTCATAGCTATAAAGAAGGACAGAGCGAACTACTGCTCGGTACGCGAATTTTCTGATCGATAGGTGGATATAATGTTTACTCCAGGGATGATGTAAGTTGGCAAATGCCATACGAACCATTCGTATCCGTGCTGAGATTTTGTCAACCATCAGTCCATTAGGAGTGATGTAAATTCTCAAATAATTTAAGTGCTCCACGTCTTCTCCATCTTTAGACTAAGCTTCAGTAGGGATAATTCCCTCAGCACCATCTCACATTTTCCAGAGGTGAATCACGTGTCAAATATACTCAAATTTTCTGACGAAGGTGTTCGGAAGACTCTATATTAAAAATCAAGCAGGATTCAAAAATAAGGTAGTTGCATAAATCTGTGGCTACGATTATGTGCAATAAATTGTTTTTGAAACGTCATTCCTCATTAGTGAAGACCAATCGGTTAGTACAACTGTTAGCAGGACGATGGTGAAGCAAGCCACAAATTTCTTATGTTAGTTTCAAGTTTCGAAGTGGTGTCATTATAATTGATATGATTATGAACAATAAGTTTTGTTCGAAACGTCATCCAGTAAATAATAATACTGTTTCACTGTGTGATACATCTAATAAACAAACTGATATGGAATTATTTTAGTTTCACTTGAATGATTTTTTACTGTAAAGTAACAGCAGAATCTTCCTATTTTTTTTTCTCTCGTCGAGTTGACCAGCGAAGCTCTACAACTTCACTGCCCTAGAGTAGTAAAAAATTCTCGTAACACACAGACACATTTACATTGACTTCCAATAGGAGATCGTCATCGTCATTCTGCTTTCATGTGACCATTTGTATCAGATGACCGATAGTGTCATAATATCTGTGTCCTATTTATTGTTTTCTTGTTTCCAAATGCTTTGGGTGTATGTGTGTGTGTGCGTACGCGCGTTTTCTTTGAAATTAACCAATCAGAGTTTCCTGTTTCTCCACACATCTATGTGTACATCTGTCGCTATGCTGATTACCTTAAATTGAAAATGCCTTTTTTTAAAGATTTATTTTGTACGTTGACAGGTAATATTAGGCATAGACACACAAACAAATATATTGGTATACATATATACATTCATATATTTAGAGCCTTACATATAGTGTCTGTCCATACGTACACATCAGAAGAGTGTGTCTGTAATGATCTGTCTATATTAACCTATTGAGTTTTTTGAATAGAAGTAATCCATCCTCCTACAGCTACTGTTAGTTAGCCTGTTGTGTATGTGTGTGTGCGTATGTGCGTTTGACATTTAAGAAGCAGTGGATTTTCTCTAGGACTTTTTAAAATTCCTTTCTCTTAATCTCGTTGTTGTTGTTGCTGTGATGGTAATCACACACATAGACACGTGTACGTGCAAACGTACGTGCTAGGTAAATGGATATATAATGAACAAGCGTACCAGAGAGAGAATGGATGAATAAATAAGTAAATAAAACTCACTTATTCAGATCAGTTGAAGCAACAAAATTACGGCTTTGTCGGTGTATTGTAAAGGTGCGCATTTTCCGTATTTTATTATTGTTATTATTATGATACTTTTTTTTCCAAATTACTTAATTGATATGCAAAGTGAAGTTGTTCCCTGTAATAAAGTCATTACAGTATCAACAGTTATCATTGTTATCACTATTGTTGTCACTTTTTGTTTAAAAAAACCCGTTTAAATATCATTTTGTTATTATGCATTTATCATCTTGGGAATGGTAACATTCCCAAATGTGTTGGTTTGCAGTGATATAATGGATTCCAAGATTTATCAAGAACACTTGCCTTGGTTAGAGGACTACTGACAGCTGTTTCGTCTTTGCTTGGATCTCTTCATCAGTACACACTTGGTACTTAGGTTACAGAATTAGCTTATTGACCAACCAGCCAATTGGATAGAATCCAATCACCATCATTTCTAACTTCTGCCAATTTGAGATATATCTGTTGCGTGGCTGCCAGTCATTGTCATTGGCGAATATTGTCTTTCGCGCCCAACTCAGTGAATGGATCCCATCGGTCACCACTTCCCACTGGGCGATTGGATTCCTTCTCTGTGATTGACAGGTCAGCGAGTTAGCCCTGTAACCCAGAGGTTCTCGGTTCGATCTTTGCTGAAGTTATGCGTCCGTACTGCTGAAGAGTTCCACATCACGACAAAACAGCTGTACTTCATTGCTTATTAGTGATCAGTCTTAAAAACAACAATATTGTCATTGTGGTCAGTAATAACTCTTGTAATATTGTAACAGCAGAAGGCAAGGCACGGGAGCCAAGGTATATTTGCAAGTGATCAAACCGCTGTTTATATAGATATAGTTTTATATTCTCTAAACAGTCATTGAGCATGTGATTTTGGCTTACATTAAACGACATGAAATAGAATGATCAAATATACATAGTATTCTGTTACTAACGCAGTATTGAACTGTGGGAATATGTGAGAATAATATACCGTTGGAATACATTGTCTGTATCAAACCACCGCAATTTGTGCTACTGTGACAAGAACTTGTAAACAGTATGCTGTGCGTGCGTACGTGGTGTTCTCTGCAAGAATCTTGAATAGTACAGTGTCAGGAATTAAATGTTGCAAAGAGGAGGAATGAAAATATACTCACCTATGAAACAGTTCATAGAAAGCATGAAAACAAAGGAAGAAGACTGTGAATAATATTTGCAAGTTGATATTTGAATGTATATTATTATAATTATTATCTCCTTGAATTGATGTGCATGAAAGGTAGGGCTTCAACGGTACATTTCTATTTCATCTTATTCCTTGAAGTTATTTTTAGCTGGCTTGACAATTTCCCATAAGTATTCACTTTCTCTGCATATGATTTACTCCGTGTCATCCTCTGACACACGTTCAACTTGTCCTTTCTCATTCGCGTTCCACTTGAGGGTCTGGCCGATGTGAAACGTGACGCGCAACCATCTTCTCAGTGTGTGTCCAGTCCGTTTCCACTTCTTTCTGCACATGTATTTGACGGTAGATTATTCGTTGGTTCTTTGTCAGAGTCCCTCTTTTGCTTATCCTTCTTAACTGGCCATTTAATCTTCAATATGAGACGAAGTCATCTCTTAGTGGAAGTCTGCAGTCTGTTTGAAATGAAATTTTAACGTAACGTCTTTGTATTTCAAAATGTAAAGTATTCAGTTTATAGAATACCACTGTTGTCACCAACGCAGATTCAGGTCCTACCTGTGACACCAATTGTATCGACCGCATGCAGATGGTATTTGGAAGTAGAATTATTTATTTGGCCAAAGGCGGACAGCATACATTGACATTCCAAAAGTTATGCACAGCCTACTTGTTTTGTCTGCATGCTTTTTATGCTTTTTTGTTTTGTTTCACACGATCCCACTTGTCACCTTTTCAACCTAATATTTGTCACTCTGTTATTTAAGATTCTTGCGGGGGACATCATACATTTGCGCACGTACGCATACAATATGCTGCATAAAAAATTCTTGTCAGTGTAGCACACACCGCATTACTACAACTATTGTTATTTTTAGAAATATTATATTAATTACAAATAACCTTTAATGTACTATACTATACCTATATCAGGTTTCATTATGTATTTATGCGTTGTATTCATTGCTTACTTTTAACAGCGAAAAAAGATCCGTATGCATTTGAAGATGATGAGAATGACGACACAGTGAATAGTTCTGCCAACACATTACTTCATTCGTCGGCAGTCTCCACTGGACAAATTGGAATTCATTCTAATTGTAGCAGTAGTGGTGGTGGTGGCGGTGGTGGAGGTGCTGGCTTTATTGGTACAGTAACATCGACTAGATCAAATATTACTAATACCAGTCCTAATAATAGTGGCAGTAGCCTGTTGTCAAAGCCATCCCGCCAAATCTCTTCATCTAATTTGTCTACTGTAGTAGAGTCCGGAAATACTAGTTCGGATAGTAATCATAGTTATAATACAACTGGTGGACCTCCACTTCGACTTCGGTTTGCTAAAGAAGCTGGACAATACACACTAATGGAACAACAACAGCAGCAACAGGTTGATTTGTCGTCATTGTCGAATTGTGATATCAATTCCAGTGGTGGAACAACTGAAGTATCTAATTTCAATAGTATGAACGATAACAATACCAGTGGTGGGAGCAGTAACAATAACAATAATATTGCTGGTCATCTGGATAGTAATACTAATAATATTGACAACAGAAATGATCAAGACGTCGGTTTATTGGTGTCAATGAGAAGCGAACAGTTGACGGGACAAGATTTAGATAATGTAAGTTTTGTTGTCGTTTATTGATTCATTTCCTGTCACTTGAATTAAAATGTATTAGTACTGTCCCTCTAGTTGCAGACATTGATAAAATTCAGGGCCTTCTGACCACATTGACTGGAATTCTTCGTATGCTTTCGGAATACCATCCGTCCGTGTCAAATGGAAGGATGGTACTCCAGGTCCAGTCTGAACAGATTCCTAGCTTAAAGATAGATAGGAGTCAAGTAGTACAACTTACCGACCACTTCGCTTACTTGGGAATTCGCATCAGCTCCAATTGCGACTCATTTCTGATAGAATTTCAACACAGATACAAAGATGCTGGTGTTGTAGGATTTACCAACCTACATCATCTCTGGTATCGACGTGATATCCGACTATCGGTCAGAGGACGTGTGTCGTGCGCAATACTCCACCCTATTCTTGTTTATGGCGGTTAGATATACCTATGAATAATGGGAGATATGAAAAGGCCAGATGTCTTTACTACAGATGTTTGCATTCTATCGTCCTTGTTAAATAGTGAAATACGGTGAGCAATATGGATGTTTGGCATTTTGTGATAGGTAAGCAAGGGAAATCAGTCAACAAAGCTGTATAGCTATATTGATGGGCAAGTGGCTAGGGGCTTCGTTGTTTCAGCGAGTGTTTGTCATACTCCATCAGGTTGAGACATTACACGAGTGCTTTGTAATGGTCGGTAGCAATATTGAATGTTGGTTGAAACACCACTTTCCTGGGAAAATTGTCTCATTCATTTGCCTTTTGCACTCTGCTTCTCTAGTAAGCGCGAATAGTTGTCTGGTGTTGCCGATCGCCAATGCTTAAACTATCTCTTTGGCTTATATCTCTCACCACTGTTCACAGTTGTTGCGGAGACTTTTAGTCAGTTTGAGTTCGAGCAGCTTTCGCTCCTCACCATGGTCGGAGCCAGCTGGGATTAGACTTCTTGTGTCGATCAGTTCGGATGAAGCAGCAAAAATTAAGTGGCATTTTCTAATCTTCTGTTTTACGTTATCAGCAGGCTTTACCGCTTTATCTATAGCTGACTAGGTATAATTCCAGGCTTCCTCAGGATCAGTCTTGCTTGTCAATCTCATATATACACGTCTGTAACGGCAGAAGATAACTGCCTTGGTAACGGATCTTTACCAAGAAAAACGCATCATAAATATACATTTTTAACCACATTAAAAGTCAGCTAAGTCCAGCTGACAATAAATTGTTCTGACTGGTTGGCAATTGGCCCAGGGCTACACCAGGCTGTCCAATGAGGTTATTTCATGCCCACAACACCAGATAAATCCAGATTTGAAGAATAAACATTTCTACTTCTGCTGATTTCAGTTTTGACCGCTTCCTATCAATTTGCATCACGCTACACGTGTAATTATTTCTTCTTTGAGTAGAAACATAGTATTCTCATCAAGTTGAGACTTGGTGGCTACAGGGATCAAAACCATCCTCAATGACTCAGCTGCATCCATTCTGTAATTTCATGTTTCTCCCGCATTTCTCCTGAATCTCTTATTTTTTTTACTTTTCTTTGCTTATATAGAGAGTGTGGCAACTTAAACTATCGCACATTTATGTAAAGATTGGTGTTGAAAAATTGACCTAACATCGAGATTATCTATGTCCTCTAAGAGCTAGAGATGTTATCTGTTTGGTTGCAAGTGTACAGTCTGTGACCTATTGATTAAAATTGAAGTGTGAATCACTTCATTTTCTCTTGCTTCATGTACTTGTGCTTTCATATCACTGTTAGCCTGAATTATTTTCAAAATGGATTCTCATAAGACTATATCAGTCCCTGGTTTTTATATTGGTTCTTTATATTGAAGTAGGGTGGTGTGATTCATTAGGAAAATGTCGCCAAGTGCTTTGAAAATGATATTGTAAGTGTTGTAATGGTTTTTCCTTGTTTTAAATAGTTTAGTGTTATCTTGCATTCGACGCTAGTGTCTCTAATTTTTGTAACCCTGTCCATAGTTATAATGACTATTCATTTATTGCGTTCCTAGTGGAACACATAGAGCTTCAACACCATGTCTCTATTTTTACTCTATTCTGTGTCGTCGTTTTCACCGTCCTCTGTGACTTCTCACTAGCTTTCATTTATCCATGTTATTCTTGGACACCGATCTCGGCACTTTCCATTCTACTTTCACTTGACGGCTTGCCGTATCCTGTCATTTGGAAGTCTCTTCAGCTTATGCCCAAATCCATCACCGCCAGATGCGTATTTGTTGAACGATAGGTTGTTGTTAACTGGTGCTCTGCCTGACAGAGTTTCTTATTGCTTATCCTTTCAGACATGATATCGAACTGGTGAAGATAGCTGTTGATGAGAATCTCCAGCTGGTTTGGCCTGGCTATTGGAAATGCTTTTGATGAAGCTTAGGAAATTTGGATCTTGTGTTGAATGGTGTAGATCACTACAGCAAGGATGTTTTTGTTTATATTTTACACTTTATATCTTGCATCTTCGGGTGTCTAAAAGTGTCTACTTGCATATTTTCCTACATAGATTTCTACATCGTGTCAATCGGAATCATCAGGAGGTGAAGAGTCGTCGCAAAAAGTTCCACCTTTACGTATTAAGTTTGCGTCAGGCACATCCGGAGATAATGAATCCTCTGTAACCTCATTGTCAGCGTCAGTTGGAGCGCCTAGTGGATATTCCATCCATCTAAACAATTCTGATAGTCATAACAACAATGATAATAATCTGGAAAATAATGGGAATGACGAGGTAGATAGAAAGGATAAGTTTGATATTAAATCTCGGCTATCTGTTGACGATGTCAGTCGAAGTGATGGTAAAGAGCTTGCAGCTTCCATTTCAACCAATACTCTCAATACAATCTCTTCAAGTACATCAGAGAAAGAAAAAATTGACAGAAGTCATGATCATGGTTTAAGTCACCACTCCAAAACTCATAGATCTCATAGTCATAACACTACAATGAATCCCAATACATCACAACATCCTGTTGACTCCAGTACAAGTTTGTCAACTTCTTCAAGTCCTGTACCTACAACCTGTTCGACTCCGACGACAACTACTGTCAACTCGACAGGCAATAGTGGTGTGGTTAGCAGTACAGGTACAGGTAGTTCAAGTCGTTCAAAGGTGGAAAGTACACAAGAGGCGAATAACAGTCATGCAAATAATGCCAGCAGTAACAGCAGCAGTCGGACAACCAACAGCAATAGAGAGACGGGGAAAGTAAGTATAAATGTGTTTATTTCGTTGCATTACAGCTAATTCTAATGAGAGAATAGTCTTTTGGTATGAGCTGATGGACCCGCAGTTAATGAAATTGTAGATAGACCTGGTCGATTAATTTATGCTATCATTTACTTCAGTAGATAACAAATTTTTGATGAGGTGGTGATGACTAATTTACAATTGCATAACGTCGAGCAGGAAGAATTTCGTATAAATTTGAATCTTTATGTTAGCTAGTTGACTGATTTGGTGAACAGAACTTTCATTTTGCATGTTGAACATCGGTCACGTCTAGATGAAATCGGTCTCGAACCTTATTCGTATTTAATTCGTGCATTTCGAAGTGTTTATTCAGTATATATAGAAAGTAAGTGATGAGTTACCTTTCGGCGTGTGCTACTGACAAGATCTGTGAGTAGTATATAGACACAAATATATGTATCATCTGCAAGAATGTTGAATAGCTGAGGGACGGTTTGTAGATGGCGATGGAAAAAAAGGAACAATTCTCGTGTTAACAACTTGGAAAATATGAAAGGGAGACAACAAAAAACAATTCCGTTACTGAATAATGTTGTGTTCTGTATCGTCACACAGAGGGTGTATCTCACTTGGCGTCATTTCGATAACTAGGTTTCATTGAAACTGAAATCTCAGTTAATCAGTTTTGAAAGTCTCTTTTCGGAGCCTTCTCATTTTAGGTCAATGGCTATTTAATTGGTCATTTCGATATACATTTTGTTTAGGAGACGCATCGACATCGTAGTGGGCGTACATTGCGTTCACATACAGCCGCTCAACGTGAAAAGGAGGAAAAGGAACGTCATAGTGAGTGGTTATTAATTTTTAAAAACTTTATTCTAGTATATTACTGCATGGAGTGTGTTTTACTTGGAATTTTTATGTGCAGACACTGTATCTTATGATTTTGTATATTCTACAAAAGTATAGTAAGAGCTGACGTAATCTCAGCACAGATACAATTGATTCGTGTGACATTTCGCCGACTTAAGTCATCTCTGACGTAGACGTGTAATATCCAGCTGTTGATCAAACGATGTATGTATTGCGCAGCAGTCCTCTCTTTCCATCTTTATCGATATGAAAGCTAACCACTGAAAGTAAAAGACTTGAAGAATCTAGCTATCTATGACCGTAGGTATTCATGCTATATCTCTCTTGTAAATTGGTATAGATATGGTAGTTAGACATAGAGTATTAGGTAAGCGGCACTCTAATCGATGAGTATGTTGAAACCTCATCGTTTGAGATGACTGGGATATGTATCATGCATGATGAGCCACCGTGTAAAAAGGTATAGACTGTCTGGTTGGTTGGGGTTCTCGGGATGGTTTGAGAGTGTTTGAGACATAGCTCGAAAACATTTTCACTAGCACAGATGAATTCACTCTTTTTTTAATTTTTACCTTATTCATTAAACCGTCAGGTTTTTTCATGTTACTATTGTTTCTCCCACACATTTCTACTCATTATAGTTCCCCTGAATTTCTTTTTTCTCTCTTTTCTGTACGTTTGTATGCTACGTGAAGTATGGCAACTCGAACTGGTACATTTCATCAGAATATAAATTTGGTTACTTAGTTATCTGAAGTTCACAAGAATTATGTCGACCTACACAATGATAAATGTGTCTGACAGCTTAATGCTTCTTTGTTCATGTAGTTAAAGATAGTTATGGTTAGGTTAATGGCAGTATACAAGGCTGTAAGCCGTACCAAATTATATAAGGTCTAATGATACAACTCATTCGTTTAGTCTGATTTTGGTGAAATGGGACACGAACCTATCTGACCCACTGACTAAAACTCGAATGCTTATGCCAAACTAGTCATATTTAACGTAATTACTTTATTACTTCCATTATAGTACCATGCATTTCTGTTTAGCGACTTCTGTATCAGTGCTAATGTTGTTGGAGTTTTGACTCAGGGGTTTAGGTGGCGGATTTCCAAACCGTAGGTCACGGGTTAGAATCCCGCTCTGTCTACGGCGGTTTTAGTAACCAGGTAATATCACTGGTGCTTATACAATAGGCGTGACTCATTACCAATTGCTAGACATGATAATGTGTTTTCTGGATGAAGTGTCATTATTCTGCTTGGTCGACAAGTCTGTGAAGTTGCTAACGCTTCATATTGATTACTTTCCAGAATTTTAAGATTATACATTTTTAATCGATCCGATGCTAGTGGTGATGCAATGTCTGTGTGTACATATTTCATCTACTCTCTTTGTTAGCCGATGACACTAGTCCAATTAAAAAGCGTAAACTACGCTCAAGGTCAGATGCTTCAAGTCACGATAGTAATACTACTACTAATAATAACAGCAATTCACAGAATCGCAACAGTGGGAATACTGCAGCTGGAAATGATCATAGTTCATCTGCAGTTACCACTACCCAGTCTGGATCCACGCCTACTTCCAGTGTTTTATCGTCTACAAATACCGCTGTTGTAAATACAGAAGTAAGTAACGATCTACCTCTAACATCGAGTACTACTATCCCCCAGGTTGATACTCCTATGACTAATGAAGAGAAAAAACCACCTGTTGTCAGTGCTCAGACAGTAATTACCGACGAAGACACTGATGTACCTATGCCAGATGTTTCTGAATTAGAACAAAAGCCTGTAAGTATGGATGTCGATGTTAAATCTGAGACATGTGGTTCGCCTGCATCAGTTGCTACACTGAGTATGGATACAACCACTAATATGGATGTGCAAGTGCCATCAACAATCACACCCCCGTCATTGTCGTCATCAGTGTCAATAACAACAACAACAACAACAACACCAGCAGTAACCATGTCCACAGCATCAGTGGAACAGTCAGGAGGGTGTCAGGGTGAAGCAGATACGAATGTGGATTATTTACTATGTCCTGCTGGTCCTGGAGATGAGGATCGGAAAGATATTGAGCTGCTTAAATTTCAAAATCCTTATGAGAAAGCAGCTGAACTGAATAAAGGTGTAAGTTGTATTTGTTGCATTATATAAGTGTGAAGCGGTTTTTTTGGTATACCTATCAGATATTTGTTTGCTGTTGGTTTCAGTGCAAATTTATGTTTATTTATTTATTAAAATACCAACGTGGTATATTATGGGTACTAAGAGATGCGCTACACAGATGGTGAGATGGCTGGGATACTGCCCGAGCGACTAGACTGAAGCAAATGACTGTCTGAAGGGGTCACACACCGAGTCTTTGACTTGAATTCTTATCCACTAGGAAGTAGAGCTGCGTTGCTATGGTTGACGGTGACCAAAACGGGTTCATACGTTATTCAATCCGTTCAGATTCTGGATTCCACGTCCACTATTGGATTGGAATCGGGATTTTCCAGCTTCCTTGAGTATAGACCTGGATGTTCAGCAGTCCGGTTGTTTACGCTAGATGTTCGCATTCACCATTTCACTTTTGCGATGAACATGTCTCCGGTGCGTGAACGCAGTGAATAGGACTTACCTGACAGAGAGTATGAATACGTAGTGACATGAGAGCATATCTGGGGGAGGACCGAAGTCTATGCACTCTTTTTTTGTTTACCTTTTTGCGTTTGTTATAAGGATTCTGTCCTACCTCTCATCACTGTTGTTGTATTTCAGTTGCGTGAGCTTGTTAAGAATCTTGTGAAAGTTCATCCCAAAGCACCGTGTGGTTATCAAGACTATCTTCTGGTTACGCGTAATTACCTGTTGGCTAATCAACCATCCTTTGCTACTTATATGAAACGTGTAAGTTATCAACATTTTTACTGATACATTTCTGTGAATTCTAACTATATGGTCGCTTGAATTTATTTATGCAGTATATGGTTAATATCTCCATGCCTATGGTGTTTCTTCGTCATTGGAGGTGATTTCAACATACCTGAAGTTTCAGGGCAACCGATTAGTGCTCCTCCCCGCTACAGTAGATTCTTATATGCAGTGGAGCTATGTGGGTAGACAATTGTTCTAAAGCTCACGCGGAATCACAATACACTGGAATTAGTTGTGTTTTTTTTTGGAAAACATCAACCTATCTACTATACACATTAGTTGCCTATTGCCAGGTAGTGACCATAACACCATAATCTGTTCCTTCAATAATAAGCTTCACTCAATGGTCTCAGTGTGTATTCGATCCACCTCCATTTCCTTCTGCGTTTCTGTTGGGCGATAGGTTGTTGGCCGGTACTTCGCCTGGCAGAGTTCCTTGTTACTTATTCTTTCAGACTTACCATCTGATATTCATTATCGAGCCAGTGAAGGCAGTTGTTGATTGAAGTCTGCAAGTATTAGGTTGTTGGAAATATCTTTGGCAACGTGTGCACCAAGTCTCTCAACCATGCAGAAGCACTGATTGACTTAATACCAGTGTTAAAGAACCGGTTCTTGTTTCTGATACTGAGTTCAGCACAATCCCACACTGATTTCCGAGCAATGAAGGCCTGTCTTACTTTTCCGACTCTGGTTGATTTTTTTGTCATCATTTCTCTCCTCTGTAACTGCAAATATGCTGTCTGAAGGTGACTCCCTTCAAATTTCTCCCATTGGTAGTGACTGGTACTCGTTGTTGGTAAGGTGTCTTCATCAATATTGTCTTCTGTATGTTCACTTTAAGTCCTGTCTTTGCTTGTTAGTTTTCACCTGTATATCTTCGCGTCTGAGTGTGACATCAACTGTTTGCAAGGTCTAGACCTGCTAAAGTCTTCTTGTTAATCAAACGTTTACACGTCTTCCTGTTTCTCATTGTCTGCCACAAGATCCCAATGCTCCACGATCAGGAATATCGTTGGTGATAGCAAACAGCCTTGTCGTATTCCTGTTTTGCAGGAATACTACTGTTGTTATTCTGCCTCAGCAACTATAAAGCTGTGTTTCACTTGAATTTTGACCAATTTGTGGGATAACGAGCTAGTAGACTTCACTATCTTCTAGCGTTTCACAGAACCGAGCGTTGATTCTCAAGGACTTAATTGATTTCAATTTTCGGAGTTTCGTTGTGGTTAATTATCAAGTGTGTGTGTGTGTGTGTGTAAAATAAACGTTACATTTTTGTTGTATGTCATTATTTTTTTATTTCTGTAATCGGCAATGGATTCTTTCACCAGTAATAATTATAATCCTTTCTGTTTAAATGTGTTGGGGGAGTGGGTGGGATTGCCAGTAATTAGTAAACCCGCTTGTTCGCTATGGCTGTGACTGACTATCTCACAACATCGATTAGTTTGAAATATGAATTTTTGTGTCTCTGTCATTCATTGTGGAGTAGAGACTTTTATCTTACTTATATATTTCAGTTACCACCAGGTAATTTGGAGCCAGCTTTTGTTGAATTATTCAATGAACAAGAAGAAGAACGTTATGCTCAAGCATTGAAGCATCAGTCCGAACGGGTAAGTGACTATATTATCTTATATTCATGTATGTGTATGTGTATATGTGCGTCAGGATAGCTAGCTACATTTGGTTAGCTGTATAGTCGGCGGTCGAGGAGTGTGGACGCACCGATGACCTTGAAAGCACACTTTTCGTCAGACAACAGGACCTACGGTTATTTCAGCGTCACTAAGTAGTTGTTGGTCCCTTTACTAGAACCCAAACTGATTCATTGAAGGGCTTCTGAGGAAGACTGGCAAAGAGGATAAGAGCGATAAATGGGTCATGAAAGGAATTCATCTTCAGTCACCTTAATGATTACATATACAGTTACTGCCGTAACCTACAAGCTGATACTTCTCATTATAATTAGAAGATATTTTTAAGTCATGTCACTGAAAAATATGCTGTTTAGTGTGTTTTATGATTATTCTCTGTATTTTCCTCTGGTAAGTAAACGTCTTTTTATGTTAAGACCCACTGGTTTTTCTGACTGGTCGCCTCAAAATCAGTCTTGCGTTCGCATTCCATGGATCACTATAGTTTAACTTTGCCGTGTAGTTCAGGTGGGCTATGACTAACAAGTACTATCGTAAATTTCTATATTTACTTTTATCGGAGTTGGCATTTAAGCTTAGAATCGATTGCTTGTTTATGGTTCCATGTGGGCGTTATCGTCCATTGCAGTAATAGGTTTTCAAGAGTGTAATGTCAGTTATTCTGTAAATATATACATATATATATATATATATATATATATATATATATAATTCTTCAGCTTGAGCACTTACCTTTCAATCAGTTCCACCTTACTCACTCTGGATGAGGTCAGATTTGCACTGGATAGTAATCATTTTTATTTGTCTAGCCCTTAATATTAATATATGTGTAAAACTTGCGCACTGTGGTAGTAAGTAATTCCATATTAGTTTGTTTATTAGGTATATCACACAGTGAAACAGTATTATTTACTGGATGACGTTTCGAACAAAATTTATTGTTCATAATCATATCAATTGTGATCACACGACTTTGACACTTGAGTTTTATAGTTTTCTTTGTTCTCCCCCATTTGTCGTATGGGTAGTAGAATTTTCCTGATATCTGGGACAGGTGATGAATCATTCCTATTACATGTATTTGTAGTTGATTCGATAAACAAAGCTTCTGTTATCAATCTCTCCCTATACCCTGTGACATTAGATTTTAAAACTGTCATCCTATCCCATCCTATTGTATGGTTGTGTGTGACTGCATGTAGTGCTATAGCTGAACTATTCTCTAGATTTCTTATCTTATTCGGGTCAACCAATCTAGATTTTGCTAAGCTTTTATGTTCAGCTAGTCTGACTGCCCCTGTTCTACTAGTTTGACCTATGTATTTGACCTGACAATTCTATGTCAGTAAAAATAGGATTGGTGAAATGTTTAAATGACAGAGCACAAAAATTAAGTAGTACCAAAGAAAATCTAAAACAGGAACTAACACACATAAAAGAAGCCTTAAAACTTAATAATTACCCGGATAAATTAGTCAGGAAATATGTAAAGAAAAGTAAAAATAAAATAAATAATGATAGTAGTGATAGTGATAATAACAATAATAATGATAGTGATAATAATAATGATATTAATGACGACACCAACAATAAAGAATCTAAATCATCAGTAGTAATTCCATACAAGGAAGGGACCTCGGAAGCCTTACGCAGAATTCTTAACAAGGCAGGAATAAAAACGGCATTCAAACCCACAAACTCAATTAGAAACAAGCTTTGTCGGTTAAAGGATCCTGTAGAGCCTTTAAAACAAAACAATTTAGTTTATCTAATACTCTGCTATGATTGTCAGGTCAAATACATAGGTCAAACTAGTAGAACAGGGGCAGTCAGACTAGCTGAACATAAAAGCTTAGCAAAATCTAGATTGGTTGACCCGAATAAGATAAGAAATCTAGAGAATAGTTCAGCTATAGCACTACATGCAGTCACACACAACCATACAATAGGATGGAATAGGATGACAGTTTTAAAATCTAATGTCACAGGGTATAGGGAGAGATTGATAACAGAAGCTTTGTTTATCGAATCAACTACAAATACATGTAATAGGAATGATTCATCACCTGTCCCCGATATTTGGAAAATTCTACTACCCATACGACAAATGGGGGAGAACAAAGAAAACTATAAAACTCAAGTGTCAAAGTCGTGTGATCACAATTGATATGATTATGAACAATAAATTTTGTTCGAAACGTCATCCAGTAAATAATACTGTTTCACTGTGTGATATACCTAATAAACAAACTAATATGGAATTAGCCCTTAATATGTCGCTGTTGTTGTTGTTGTTGTTGTTGTTTGAAATCTGTCTGTCAGAAATGTGATGATGTGGTCACCATGCTCAATGACATAACTGACATTGCTGTGCGCTGTTATGGTTTCTTTTTTTCCCCTAATATACTATTAAGATGCGAAACAGAATGCTACAGTTTCGTTACCACTCAGCTACATGATGACATAACCTACTTGATCGATAGATTTCGCTATACACCAAGCGAGTGGGTAGTTAGCGACTGAATGACTCGAAAACATTACGTCAATTATAATTTCCGTCCTGCAGTGAGAAAACTTTTACCCGCCTTACTGAATGGTGCAGGATAATATACTTCCTCTTGTTCTCAAAGGTGAACGGCACTAGAAAGTTCATGTGGAGGAGAGTATGGCAGTTGTTGGTTTTATGGTTAAAGTGTCGTGATCTAAATAAATAATGAAGACTATTCATTTGGTACTTTCTCGTGTGTGTGTGTGTGTATAGTTTCGCACAAAATTTGTCCTGTGAAACAACTTCTGCTTAAATTGGTTTAGAAACAAAGTAGTTGAAAGGGGTTATCCATGATCACAATAAAAGCTAGTATCAATTAATGAAATCTTTCACTTTTGATTTCAGCCAGACACGTGGGGATGCGTAGACTGCCCCTGGTTGGTGTCTTTGAGTTGCTAAGATCCAATACACCTTGGGATTGTTGTTGATGTGGTTTTGGAAATCGTTTACAACTACTCTTTATAAACGCCCTAGATCCTTCAAATTCTTCTTAGTCCTCATGTAGTTATTTTTTTTTCCTTCCATATATTTCCATTCATTATGCTTTCCTTGAGTTTTTATTTTTCTGCCTTTTTGTCTGATTTATTCACTGAATTTCAACAAAGATCTTCACTTCAATTCACCAAACTGCATATAGTACACAAAGATAGAGAAAAGAGAGATATAAGGTAGTCAACAACAAAAAAAACTAACGAGTAGTAGTCATGCGCGGAAGGTAAAATTATAACGTAGAAAAGCATAACGCTTTAGTGGAGATGAGAGAACATAATCGGTTAATACATTTACACCGTTGGTAATGATTTCGAGGTAAATCAACAACACTCTCAGGCTAGTGTTTCTTAGAATCCACACAACCACAGAAGTTAGTCAGGTAGTCTAAACCTCCTTAGTTGGTCAGCTCAAACCAATCGTCAAATTACCTTTGTGTGAGTCGGTGGCACAGTGGTTAGGACTCTCGCCGACCATGCACATGGTCCGAGGTTCGATCCCCCGCCGACGCACACCTCATTTCTATGGTCGGCCTGCCGAATTCGGACTACCGAGATCACATGCTGAAAATTTCGTACTTGTACCAAAAATACTGTGTGGAATCAAGCTATAATAAATAAATAAGTAAATGTGGAATGTGAAAACAAAAACAGATTTATGGTATAAATAATTTCACTAATCAATCGTAGGGGCTTAAAAACTTCCTTATCCCTGTATGAAACTATTCGCTACTGATTGATTGATGTGAGTAGTTGTGTACACCAGTCACGTCAACTAAGTAGTGCTTGATAGCTAGGTCAAAATTGGTCTAAACGCCGGGTGGCCGTTCCCCTCGTTTGGCGCCTGAGCTTATTAGTGTGGGTGTACTGTACTCGGGTTGACTGAACCTAGAGCTGAATCAGTTCAGATGACCCAATTTCTGACTGGCTGGCTGGCTGGCCATTCGGATGAACTGGTGATACCAGTTTGCATAGTTTGAGTAGAGTTCCACCAGTTTCCTATGGAAACCGAAAGTATTCAGATCACAGTATATGTGCTTTGCTTGATACGATAAATGGTAATCAAGTAGGCAAGTAGTGCCGCAAATCTTTATCCACCCTCAATCACTGCTACATCTTAAGTTATTCACAGTGGAAAACTCAAAGAAACGTTTGAAGTGGTGACAGGAGTAAGACAAGACTGATGTAGACTGGATTATTATGCATCAGACTGTGAGGACTGAGAAGACAGGAATACGTTGGACCGATGAGAAGACTCTAGACTTTGCAGACTGTATATGTGTAATGTCACACAAACACGAAGATATACAGGCGAAAACTAACAAGCTGACAAAAGAGGCAAGCAGCAAAGACAGGACTTCAAGTGAACGAATGTAGATGAAAAAATGGTGATGATGGATAACCAACCAACAAAAACAATACGCGCCAATCACTATCAACCCGGGGAATTTGAAAGAGGTTACTGCATTCACTTATCTGGCAGGCATTGCTTCAACTCCGGACGAAATGAATAAGAATGTCAAAACGTGAATCAAAAAGGCAAGGTACGCCTTCATCACTCTGAAATCAGCTTGAAAATCTTCTGTAATCCGCAGCATGAACAACATTTAGATTTTCAACACCACAGTAACTTGTCGCGTCGTCACGAAAGGCATTTCCAACAGGTTACTGCAGACTTTCATGAACAGCTGCCTGCACTAACTCCATATTGAAAATCAGATGACCTGGAGAAATTAGCAACATGAAGCTCTGGAGACAAACCAATCAAGAACCTGTTACTCGAAAAATATACCGAAGCGAATGGCAATGCATCAGACACACGCTGAGGAGACTGTTGGGCGACATCTCTCTCTCCAGATCACCTCTGGAGTGTAACCGGAACGAGAAATGGAGAGTCTGACTTCTGATGTTGGCATGGAGGAGATGAGAGCCTATGGACAATCGTGGGATCACGGAATTGGATAAGGCGGAAATGTGCGTCCTACTTGGAACCCAAAGGAACAATAATTAGGAAAGCATGCATAAATGCATAGACCTGTATACTACTTTAAAACAAGCAATAAAGGTTAATAAAGCAGTATTTAATGAATTCATCAAATTTCGGTAGAACTCGTCAGCTGAATACTCTACATACACGGATACATACTTTTGAAATTACATTGGGAGATATAGGACTGCTAAGTAAATAAATAAACTACATTGAATTAGTCATGCAGAAAGACAGGTGCGAATGTTTTTCCAGGTCATGTTCAATTAGATAAGGGCAGAGAGAGTATGGGAGATCAAAATTAAGATAAATTGCATTACGCTTCAATTACATCACTTAGATAAACAATAAGACATTAAAGAATTTAACAAGAATTGCAACCAGAGGGATGTCAATAGTAATAGTTATAATAACAATAATGATAATAGTGTTGAAGTGAGTTAAGATAATGCTACTGATAAAGGATAGTTTTAAATGAATCAAGAATAATAATAATGAGAATAATAATAGTAAAAATAAAAATAATAATAAGAGGTAGAATTATAAGTAAAACGTATTACCATGGTAGATTCAGAGTCACGACCATCTCCTTTTGTACACAGAGACCTGGTTTGTAAACTCGAATTGCACAAGCCTCTGCAATTGCAAGCATCTTCTTGTTTCTTTGTCTGCTGACAATGGTGAATGACTTGACCGCGTCGATATCATGCCCGTAATCCACAAGATGCTTTGTTATTGAGGATTTTGGCACTTTGAACTCAGCTGTTTCCAACCATTTTGGCAAATGCTCCATCATGCGAGTAGACAATCTCCTTTCCGTACGACCTATGTATTTGCTTCCCACAAACACACTCAAATTGATATAAGCAGTTTGAAGTGTATACTACTGATTGAATGGCTGTATACCATTCACGTCAACCAGAAGTGTGGTATCGTGCAGATGTCATATATTATAGTGTGAATAATTGTGGCTTCGTAAAGAAACTGGTGAAATCTCACCTAACATTGTGTAAATTGCGAATATGATATGCTTCTTTGTTCTCTACGGTACAACACGCATGCTTGCTATATATATGGAGAAAGAGAGAGAGACGGCAAGTATGCACAGCACTAGTTTAACTCCTATTCACATTATTAACCTGGAGGAGAATGTGTGATGTCTTGTATGTAATTCGCTACTACACGTTTTCTTCAGTATAGTAATATGAATCATAATAATCCTATAATTCATCATTCATTTATGTATGACATAATCCGATAAACAACACAGAAAATAAGTATGCCTTAGAAAGAGGTGAGGAGGGGAGGGGAGAAGGAGTAAGCATTTATTTATAATGCATATATAATTGCAGGGAAGAAAAAACAGCCACTCAGTAAAATCTTCATATTCAGCATTCGTTCATGCCGTCAGATAACACATTTTCTTTAAAAATACCGAACATCTGTTATTTGGAGAGAGGGAGAAAAACAAAAAGACGGTTGCAGCGAAGAAAAAACGGGTTGTTTTTCACGAAGACATCAACATTCGTGCATATATATGTATAATAAAGGGGTTGAGAAAGTGCCAGAACTATATCCAGTCGACGGTCAAATTATAATGATATGAAACACAAACAAATAGGGATTAGAAACATAATAATAAGCAAAATTGACAAGAATTTTGGACAAAAGAAAGCATAATTGGATAAGGATTATAGAGAAAACTGATTGATTGTGCATGACAAACATTGAGCATTTTTACTATTGTACACATGCGTTGACAGGAATTTCTGCATCGTTAGTGCATCACCTCTCTTCCCAGATGTCTTGGCCTCAATCTCTGTGAGTAGTTTAATCGGATGTTGTATAGGGACTTTGAAGGGTATCTCAAATAGTACTGGGTGTTCACTAGGTGCTCTGTTATCAAATTATAAACACGCCTACATTCCCCTGTAGTTAACCAGGCCGTATAGTGTCGCCAATTGTATGCAATGTACAGTCAATGTTTTTGATGTGGTTGTGTTCTCTAAGCTGGATGGCTAATTTGAGAAGCTGTCAGCGCATACTTCAATTTGAAGTGAGCTTTAAGATTTCTCCACGAGTTTATTAATCATCTCTCCCGGTGACCTTGGACGTGATTGGTTTTGTATTGGAACTGATTGTTTCTTTGACTTAAACTTTGACCCTATGTGTGTGTGTGAGGTTTCTTTCTTATCGGTTGATAAATTTTGTCAATCTCGATGTGTCTATTGATTGATGATTCACTGGAACGCCAAGCTTCTAAAAAGTCCCTAGCATTTTTGTTGTTTCCTCTGTCTAATATTTGAACATTGTCCCAGTTGAATTGATGTCCGTGGTTATCTGTATGGAGTGATATGAGGGAGTGGATATCATGTCATGTCTTTTGATGGCTAGCCTATGTTCGTGGATACGAAGACGAAGGGGACGTCCACTTTTGCCAATGTAGTGTTTTTCGCAGTTGTGATAAGTTAGATATAAGTTAGATAAAACTCAGAGCTTAATAAACAACGTCTTCAACGACATCAAATTCACAAGAGAAGAGGAATCCGAGAACAAAATCCCATTTTTGGACGTCTTAGTCAAGCGAACAACCACAGGAGAATTAGAAGCTCAAGTTTATAGAAAGCCAACTCACACAGACCAAATACTGAATTGCAACAGCAACCATCCAATAACACACAAAAGCAATTGCATACAAACACTATTCAAGAGGACCAGGACTCATTGCAGCACTCCCACCTTAAGGAAAATTGAAGAAAGATATCTCGTGGACGTCTTTCAAAAGAATGGATATCCACGGAATTTCATCAAAAGACATAGACCCCCAAGCCAACCTATCAAATCAAAAACCCCCAAGGAAAGCACAAAGAAAATCACCCTACCATATATAAAGGATATCTCAGAAATCACTGCAAGACTCTTTCTACCGTTCTCATCAACTGAGCTGTCAGCTAAACAGCTGGCGTGTGCTTTAGCACAATAAATATTAGTTTGGGAGCAAGCACTGCTGAAGAGTCTCAAAATAGAGACCAAAACAAATGTCCGCTGCTCCCTGGTGGCTTTTGATGAATCATACGAGAAAACTCACAATCGAAAAGTATCACTCTGCAGTCGCTGGTTGGGTATTCTAAGATTGCCATGAAAAGTCGTGACCAGTGATGTTAACGTAGGTGGGGAAAGTAGATAGACACCCATCGGTGACTTTGGTCACAGCTGCACAGAAACTGTCACTTGTATGATTGACAAAGTTTTCAACTTGAGACTTTGCAAATGTCTGGAGCAATCCAAATGTCCACGTTTCATATACCACTTAAAGGTAGACAAAAAGGCTCCAAAGGAACGGAAACATGTTAGAGAAAGAATAGATGCATGCAGGTGAATGAAAATTTGATGCATCCTGTCAGATGAAATGCTGACTGACAGTAGCGTCATAATTTGTGCAAGAGCTTCTCTACTGCCTGGATGCCCAAACTGAAGCAGATAGTTGTCTTAAGAGATCACCCCTCGAGTCTTTGATTTGTACCCTGATCCACAAGGCAGTGCAACAGTGTCAGGAGCTGCGTCCCCAAAACAGCTTTATGCACCATCTGATCCTTTCGGACGCTGCAGCCTATGTGTAGCATAAGTTTGGGATCAAGCTTTCCTGGCTAGATCTGGATGTTCACCAGTCCGGTTGTAAATACCAGACGTTCTCCCGTGGCGTGAAGGCAGTGAACAGGAAATACCTGGCAGAGATTATGGACGTGTGTTCACATGAAAACATTTGTAGAGGAAGTCTGTCTACCTTGAGCCTTACCAGGCAGTTTGGCGATTTGTTCATCTTTACCTGTACAACATAGTTCCCCCTGTTCATGGGAACTAGTTTTTTTATTCAGTCGAATGTATGTGCGTTTCACATGTAGTTTGGGATATGATTCCCGGGTGATACACTGCTAAACCTCACCTAACCGTTGTGAGGCCAGGAATAAAAGGAAGGTTAAGCTTGAGGCTAGCAACTCCATTCTGTAAAATTCAAATAACACCACTTCTATTAAAGCTTCAAATCCTGAAGATATTCAGTGCACAAGAAATAAATGATTGTTTATCCGCGTCTTTGCATTAATATCTGTATGCTTCTGACACACTTTTGTTATTATTATTATTATTTTTCCAATAACCAATCATAGGAACACCTCCAGTTGGGAGCAGAACAAGCTGTACTACGTGCTCAAACACGTGGGGCTTTAGCAGTTGCCAATCAATCGAAACCCTATTCATTTTGTTCCATATTATCTTATAACGATTTAACATATATACCACCGGTCGGAAAAGAAGATAATCGGGTAAGTATTCTTCAAGCCTAATGTCTTTTTATTTTTCATTTGTGAATAAAGTCCACTTTCACATTGATTATGGGAACGTCAACAGGTGATAAACAATAGGTTGAATAATATCAGTTAAATATAGTCTTTGGATTTTGATGTAGGTAGATTTCGTTACGAACCGACAAATCAGTTGGACAATCATTGAAAGCCCTCAGGGAGCACTGGAAAACTGTCCCGTCCCAGTTTAGGACTCTACAGGAGTATGCACCCATGAACAACAACTTGCGCGAAAATGCAAATGCTCCGTGAATTCCAGCATCGGTCGATTTATGATATAGCGCTACAGCGAACCAATCCTTCTCAGTGAGGATCCACTTCACACCCCTGATATGTTGGAACCCACTGACCACAACTTCTCATTACTACTTTAGGGTATGCACCCAGTGGCAGTAGTTTAACAACAGAAGACAAGGGCCAGGCAACAGATCGTTTATTAAGGAAAATCAACACATATTTATAGATTTTGGTGTACATTATTGTAGATTATTGTTAGTAGAAAACACAGTCTTTTGATTGGTTCTTTCTCACAGAAAGTTAACCTTGCATCTCTTTGTGGCTGTGTCAGATCATCCATAAGCTAACTGTATCCACCTACGCAAAGCCTTTGTTCTCATTTTCTCACCATCAATATTGGGGACATAAACATTGACGTCAATTACTGTCTACCAACTTTGGCTAGCAGCCAGCTCTCACCACAGTAGTAGTGTAGTAGTAGTAGTAGTAGGCAATAAAATTGGGATTATGCGTTTTGTAGGTGTTTCGATTAATTATGATGTAGTAATGGTTTGGCTTTCAGTGATTCTCTAACTGATTTGTTGGATCGTGACAAAGTCTACCAAAATATCAATCTAAACCTCTACAGAAACCCTATAACCAAAATAACAATCGTTGGGTGTTGAATGAATAATCTTGTTTTGTGACTCATAGTTTTGCTGTAAAGCAGATACAGCCGCATTGTTTACTTTTTTCCCGTAAGAATTTGCTGTTAATGGAGACTACTTCTGAACACCTTGACCACAAATCTGCTAATGTCTGGCAACATAGAGGAGATTTGTAGCTTAGATGGGTGGTTTTCGTTATTCTTTTAGATGACATCTTCAACGTTGGCTGTCATATGACATGAACTTGTTTGAATTCCCTATGAGCGATGATATAATTGTCCCTCCTGACAACTATTGTCGTGATTACTTCTTAACCTACATCTCTAGTGATCATTTTTTTCACTTGGAATTGGAACTTTCTTGTCATTCGATTGATGTTTTATCAGTCGGTTAATTTGGTCTATAGTAATGTGTTTATTAATCGCTGACTCATTTGAGTTACCAGGCTGCTAGAAATTCCTTGACTGCATTTTTAGTGTTTCCTCTTTAAAATTTCTACATTCTCCTAATCAGATTGGTGTACTTAATTGCTTATATGCATTAATATGAGTGAAGATATGCCTTGTCTTTCCCAGATAATTTATGATCTTGAATTCTGAGTCGGGGGAGGACGCCCACTTTGACCAGTGTTGTGTATATCACAGTTCAGGCAATTTATTTTGCCAATGGTATTGATCGTATCTTCTTGTGCTATTGGATCCTGTAACACTCCAGTGCTGAAGAGAAGGGAATTATCTATTAACTGTCTTCAAGAGGAATGAATACCCAGACAATTTCATTAAACACTGTTTAAAGTCAAATCGAGATACCAACAAGGAACCATCCTCAAAAGCCACAAGAAAATTCACTCTACCGTATATAAACAATATCTTTGAGATAACGGCTAGGATGCTAAAATCATTTGAAGTAGACATATCACACAAGCCAACACAATTACTTCATTTAGTATTGTGCCGAACAAAGGAGCCAAAAACAGAACAAGATAAGGTCACCAACATATACAAAATAAACTGCATAAAATGCGTTCAACACTACGTCGGTCAAAGTGGGCGTCCTCCCTGACTCAAAATCCAAGATGATAAATTAGCTGAGGAAAGACACGGTATGGATTCACTCAGATCGATGCATGTAGGCAATTATGGACACTAATTTGATTTGGGAAATGCAGAGATTTGAGCCATGTAGGGAGGAGTTCCCTGTTTGATTGAATACCTCAGGATGCTAAGAAAACCAATGGTGACTGGAGACTTGATGATATTGGCTGAAAATCATTATCGGTGGCATAGATGCATTCACTTTTTGTGATCTCCCAAATCCACCAAACCGTCGTGTTTCTCTCTAACAGTTTACTCATTGAGGAGGTCCTTTTGAATCTCTTTTTTTTCTCTATTTTGTGTACTGCAGTGTGAGTGTAGCAAGTTGAACTGGTACACTTCAGGGCAAAGTTCAGTGTTGAAAACTTTTTCAGCCTTTACCTTTCTCAGTCATGCATAAAATGATGAATGCAATTTATTGAACTGCTTGACTGATTTAAAGCTGTATACACTACGATTCAGCATTACGATATTAACCTCGTTTTTTCTTTCTTCAGTAATACGATAATAAAGGGGAAATGGTAAGGCGAAACCTGACAGTTGAAATTACTTAGTGATATACTTTAACAATAAAGTAACTAATTGATCATACAAAAAGAAAAACATGACCCTGTAATACCACCAAGCAGAATGCCATAAGACTATCACTAGCGCTCATACAATAGTCAAAAGAATAAGCAATAATAAGAATAATACTCTCACGTAGAAGTAACTGGCTGACTGAGTTTTTTTTCATCATAGAACCTGGCATAGAAGTTCACCAGTCCAAGTTGTCGCACTCCCTATACCACACAAAGGTGAAGAAAAAGAGAGAGAAAAGAAATTTAAATAGGACTATATGATAAGAAGAAATGTGAGGGAGAAAGAATAGTAACATCGAAAATATGGTAGTTTAATGCATATTGGAGATCACAGCGAGTAGTGGGGACACCTGCAGCATTGACAACGATTCCGAGTCAATGGTCTCCAGCCATTAGTTCTTAGAATTCCGAAAACCCTAACCAGGCAGTCTAGATTTCATGAACTAGTCTGACCACTACTCACCGTTCTCCAACTTAATCCAATGTTGGCTAAGATTTCTGGAGAAGGAAGGTGATGCCATTGTCATACGCAACACCTGTCCTACAAGCCATCTCAGTCGATTCCTCTCTTTACCTAACACTTCATGCATAACGTCAATATTGCTCACTATAGGCTTTTATCTAATCAATACTACTACTGCTGCTGTATATTCTTCTACATATATAATTCATGCTTTTTTTGTTAATTTGCTTAACACAGGAAGAAGAAAGTGTTCGTGGTCGTTTCACACCGCGTACATTTATCGGTTGGCTTCAGGATATAATTGATACATATCAAAGCGAAAAGGTAAAAATTAATGTCTGCATACCCTCCCATAGTACTTACTCTGCGTTGTCCCTACCGATAGCTTCTACCTGGTTCTGGTAGTCAGGCTTACATATCGCTATGACCCAAAAAGCTACACCGGCTGGAACTAATTTTCTTGCGTGTCCTACCATGGCACAAAGGCTGTTAGGATAGCGATTAGACTAAAAGCAGTTATCCTAATAGGGTAAGATGTTTACACTATTCTGGAGATGTGTGAGCGAAGTTGTCCTCCTGAGGAATCACGGATGCAACAGTAGTAAGGTGTGTTTCCCTCAGATGAGCAGCATGCCAGTTGTGCTTGCCTCTCCACTCTACAGATTGGGGTTAGGAAAGGTTTACCCGAAAAACTGTACATCCCGACTCACACTACGATAGTCTGTAACCGGTGGTAAGTTCTTAATACGAACAGAACTCTGTGTGTGGTCTGCCTACCTCAAGCAGGTGTCCCTGGGGCTCTGAGGTCATGCAGCGCTAATTCTCTTTCCGTTTCAGATATCCTAAAATAAATCAACTTCCATGGTGTGGACAACGGGGGGTGGGTGACAACCACTCACCCACCCACACACTCTGTTTTGTTATAATGTGATTAGGAGTTTAACTCTGTTGTCCGATTGATGTAAGCATTTTAAAATTATGGTTCTGATATGTTTTTCAGTCTAGCAAATTTATTACTCACTGGAAAAAATCCTCTACTACGGTAATAGTAATACGTCGGTATTTATGGCAGTGAAATTAAAAGACAATCAAGCAAACAGAATTCTCTTCATCGATGAAGTCATCTTCAGTGACTGTACAATCGTATTAATTTTATTCAAATGAATTGCAGTCTGTCATTGAGTAGTAGGAGTGTATGTGTGTGTGTGAGACATGGCTTCTCGGATGACATGGTTTCTACAGATTAAAAAATCACGTAATAGTCGACGACGCAATAGAAATTTGATAAGGATGACAAGCAAGTTAGTTGATTGTCCACTTGATAAGTGTGAAGAGGATGAGGAACATGTAAAGCTGATGATAATCGTGAATTCATTACTAAAAATAGAAGCGAAATGTTAGGAAAGCGATTAAGACACCATGGTAGTATAAGTTGACTGAGCAAATTGTGTCTGCACACAACGTCCAGGGTTATATCGATGAGTCATTAGCGCCTCCGTCATACACAAATCATCCAAAACCCCAAACTCTTGTTTCGTCCTTCTTTATTTTGTAAGTCATTTTAAAGAGGACTCCTGTGAGAACTGTGCAGTCCGAATTCATCAGAGAATTGTGCTAGTAATTTTTTCACCCCCCGCACACATTGAGTCATAGAAAAGAAAACACATTCAGCAAAAAGTTAATCTCTTCAGCGATTAAATTGAGTAACGTGCTATAATTTTAAGGGGGTTGAGTAGAATTCAACTACCATTCAAACGAGAGTCAAGTTAACAACATTGGTAGTGAGGGAGGTAGAAATCCAAAAAAGGTGTGAGGGAAGAAAACAATACAATGAAAATCAAAAAAATACGTATTAAGACGGATAATGTCCATTGTTCGTTTAGTGGCTGAACAAGCTTCTTTTGTTCAGCAGAGTTCAAGATGTAACATGTGAATTGCCATTGCTTCTGCTGTTTGATTCGTTCTCTCTTACCAAGATTCCTGTGTATTCTGTAGACTACTTTGTGGGTTAGCTTAGTGTCCAGATTCGATCAGGTGTTCTAGAATAGAGCTGTGGCTAGGAGGGAAATCGTTTTTTCTTCTTTATGAAGACATGATGGTGATAAGTGTTCAATGATACGTTTGGATAGCGAACGCTGGGTACAGCTGACATACTCGACTCCTCATCAGCAAGTGAATTGATGAGGCCAGCATTTTCTTGCGTTGTCCTCCTGATAACCTTTTTATAAACTGGAGTTATTCACTTCTCTCCTTTTAGGGTTTTCAGTACGAGCAAAGAGACATTAGAATAAGTCATTCTGAGAAAATGACACTTTTACCTACTTCACTTACTTTCCTATGTAGAACTGCTCTATAATGAGTATATATATATATATATATATATATATATATATATATATATATATATATAATCTTCGATGATTCCTTTGTTTCTTATCGTATCTTATATCTTTGTATATTTATTCAGAAAAAATTGTTATGTCGTCAGCTTCATGAAGCAGAATCCTTAATGATGGTGCAAAAACTTGACTGGGAGATGAAAGCGCGTGAAACACTGGCCAATGTGGATTGTATCGGCCTAGATGGATTCAAAGATATTCCAGGTAGTTGTGTACCAATGATTCCAGTGCCGAATGATTTTCCATTATTCGCTCATGATCCAGTGCATCGATCAACTTCTATGACAATGACCAGTAATAGCAACAGCAATAGTAATACTGGTGGTAATCCCATTTCTGCAACTAGCACTGTGATGAATAGCATCTCTACTCCTGCCATAAAGACAACAGCGCCTACTAACACTGTCAGTACGACAACATCCAACCCGTAAACTGTAAACAATGAAATAAGAATAAGAGTAGTAATCATCCAAGAGAATTGTGCATTTTCCACATATTTCTGTCTATGTGTGTTCATAGATGTGTACATATATGTATATAATTAATGTGTATTTGATTATCTGTCAGTATTATTGGTAGTATAACCAATTATTTTAAAGGACTGAGTTTAATGAACAAAGAGTATTTTTTTTTCCTGTAAGTTCTTCATTATGTTCTACAGTTGTATGACCAAAATTAATAAACAATTATTGATAGTAACAACATTAGTGTTTTCTCTTCAATAACATTGAATCAATAGTATCGATAGATGATTACAATGCATAATCATCTGTATGCGAGATAATATGCATTAACACACAAACAACACTAAACTGATTGAATTTACAAGTTCCACAACAGGCCAGAGTAGCGATACCGGCTTCCAGTTGTTTCAGGCGAATTGCAGTAGTCTCTAATGTTTTGAGGCCTTTGATAATTTATTCGTTACCCAATAAACGATGGAGAAAGACCCTTCAACGGTAGCCAGTTTTGTTGGACGAGTTGGTTTAATATCGAACTGTTGGTGGTTTTTACTACACCTTTGTTTCGGACACCCTGATAGGTGTTCCTGAGCACGTAAATTTAATCTATGTGTAAAACTTGGGCACTGTGGTAGTAAGTAATTCCATATTAGTTTGTTTATTAGATGTATCACACAGTGAAACTGGATGACACAGTTTCGAACAAAATTTATTGTTCATAATCATATCAATTGTAATCACACGACTTTTCTTTGTTCTCTCCTATTTGTCGTAGGGGTAGTAGAATTTTCCTGATATCTGGGACAGGTGATGAATCATTCCTATTACATGTATTTGTAGTTGATTCGATAAACAAAGCTTCTGTTATCAATCTCTCCCTATACCCTGTGACATTAGATTTTAAAACTGTCATCCTATCCCATCCTATTGTATGGTTGTGTGTAATTGCATGTAGTGCTATAGCTGAACTATTCTCTAGATTTCTTATCTTATTTGGATCAACCAATCTAGACTTTGCTAAGTTTTTATGTTCAGCTAGTCTGACTACCCCTGTTCTACTAGTTTGACCTGACAATCATTGCAGGGTATTAGATAAACTAAATTGTTTTGTTTTAAAGGCTCCACAGACAGGATCCTTTAACCGATATAGCTTGTTTCTAATTGAGTTTATGGGTTTGAATGCCAGCCACTTCTATTCCTGCCTTGTGAAGAATTCTGCGTAAGGCTTCCGAGGTTCCTTCCTTGTATGGAATTAGTACTGATGATTTAGATTCCTTATTGTTGGTGTCGTCATTAATATTACTATTATTATCACTATTATTATTATCATTATTATTGTTATTATCACTATCGCTACTATCATTATTTATTTTATTTTTACATTTCCTTACATATTTCCTGACTACTTTATCCGGGTAATTATTAAGTTTCAAGGCTTCTTTTATGTGTGTCACTTCCTGTCTTAGATCTCCCTTGGTGCTACTTAGTTTTTGTGCTCTGTCACTTAAACATTTCACCAATCCTATTTTTACTGACATAGGATGGAAGTCCAAATATCTGTTTGAATGTGTGGGTTTCCTGTAAACACTAGTGTTTAACTTCCCATCTTCTTTCCTTTTTACGTTGCAATCTAACATTGGAAGCTCCCTGAGTTCCTGATTTTCCAATTCATAAGTGAATTGAATTGCTTCAACCTTAGAGTTGATATGTTCGAAAAACCTATCTATATCTTGTGTTCTAAGAACAGTGAATGTGTCATCTACGTACCTCCACCATACTTTTGGGGCGGGGGTGAACGTTTTAATCGCTATGCTTTCCCATTTACCCATGAATATATCTGCTACCACTGGGGATATTGGTGATCCCATGGCAACTCCCTCAGTTTGTTTGTATATTTTCCCTTGGAATTTAAACGTTCGAAACGTCATCCAGTAAGTAATACTGTTTCACTGTGTGATACATCTAATAAACAAACTAATATAGGATCACATAAAGTTAAGTTCTTAGTGCAATGGCCAATGTAACTGGCTCCACAAGAACCGTTGAATGAATAAATGCAATTGCAGGCTCTTCATCTTTCACTTTCGGATACACAACACAACTGGTTGTGTTGGAAATATAGGCTGCAGCTTACCAGTATATTTAATCTTCTCTGAATCAATTTTCTTAACTCATTATTTCTCTTGATATATCATCTTTCTATTGTACTTGTATATGTATAGAGGCCTCTTGTTAGCAGATACAGAAGAATTCTTCTCTACACTCTTGGCCTATGTGTTTCTGCGTGGACTGTTTTCAATTAACGTGTCGTATACAACCTGAAGATCGTCTTTAATCGCCACTTTTGATTATATAGGTTTTTGAGCTCAATATCTGCATCTACATAGTTGATTTGTTTGCCTCTATGACAAAATCTTAGGCCAAGATAAAATATCTCGAGTTGTATTCTATTTAATTCAATACTACTATAATTGGGAAAGCGTAAAATTCGCTAGCTGCTGGTTTATTTTCAAAGCCTGTCATTAGCTCAATATGCTTCTTCTCTGCTTGATTTTTTCCTGTAGCCAGAGATGTGTTTCTTTAGATCTTCCGGTAGCTCATCTACTGCATATTGCCTGCGGGCGATATTCCATTCCATTCTCTTGTATATATGCACACAAACAGTCCATCTGCCTTAGTGCATATCATTTCAACGTCTTCTTATTCAGATGAACTCTGCTTCGACGTAGAGACTTTAACAGTGATAGCTTTATTTTAGACGGTTGCATGGCATTTCCTCTTTGCACAGAATCTTCAGATAACATATTTATTGAAATTAGATCCTGTGAGACATTGCTATCTGACCTGAAGTGCAAACCAGTCCATTATGATATTTCCTCTTTGTTTCTTTAGAGAAATGAACGACATTTTTATAAATTGTCAATTATAAAAAGTTCAGGAACAGTTATTTCATGTATTGGAATACGTTCCCCCCCCCCCTACAATTGTGCTTTTCCTTATGTTTAGAAGAAACTGGCGAATCAACACTTTAAGTACTCACGATATTAGATTATTCCACTAGAGGTCATACTTTAATTGATTAAAACAAAGCGAATAGAAAAAATTGTATGCAAAATAGGGATTTAAGTTTTTGGCAGGCCACCGTGAAACCTCAATACCCTATGGGTGTTCGAGGAATGTAACGCAAACTTTAGAATAAGGATTTGATTCAGTGCAATTATTAGTGAAATTCAAGGTAGTTTCTGTTTCACGGAATTTAGCATTCCACTTCAGGGGCTCATTAAGAACATCCGACGCTACAGGCTGCTCAGAACACCTTCAACTGTTATTTATTTATTTATTGGATTTTTTAGCCTTATTCACCCACTTACAGGATGTAATCCTTAGTTATTTATTAGATTAGTTTCTCATTGTAATCTGTCTACTTATTTGAGTAGTGTCAGGGACTAATCTCATATTGGGCAAGAGTAAACAATAGACACCAAAGTTAAATGACCTTGATTTGACCAATCAGATAGCTCAGCACTACAAATGGTTCCTAGTCATAATCCTCTATGAAAGTGTCGCCTAGATTTTGTTTTTGACTTCTCTGTAGATAATGTGTTGATAGGGAGGAATAAAACATGCATGTGTAGAGGGACAATAACTCTGGAAAAGTATTGCCGGGCTATTGGTGGTTATACATTCAGATGCAACCACTTTATATTAGGAAGTCTGTATAAGTTGGTAAGTCCTACATAAGTGGTGATTATTTTAGACACTTTCTTCTCGAAATCGAAGCTCTCTCTTAGTAATATACTGCGTATATGCAACCAGTATCTGCTACAGCTGGAGGAATAGAGAATACATTGGTTTGATGCGTCTATAACCACTTCTATGAGAATCTGGGACCAGTTTTCGCAGCATGTTAGAGATATATACCCTATGCGATTCATTTTTATTACATGTATCATAGATACACTTCTTTGTAAATTAAGTACCACTTTTCACCTAGAAGAATCTGATTGGCTGTTTCAAGGTCGTCTGAAGTTGGTGTATATTCTCTACTGTTGCCTCATACTGCAACTTCACTGTGAATTCTCATAATATCTTCATTATTTTTCTTGTTTTAATGTCTTCTACACCTTTATTATTTAAGGAGATGAATTTTATTGTTTGCTAATCATCGATGATGCATCAATGATAACTTGGCATTTGAAATGTGTTTTTGATCTGTTTTCCTCTTGACTTGGTGATTTCTTCTGATGCCTTTAAGCTGACGTTGCTGCTATCGGGCTTGCATACCACAGAGTGGCCTAGCGGGCTACACTCTTTGGAACGTATGTTCCTGCAGATCATATCTGCATAGTAGGTTAGCATCATATGATTAAGCTGTCTACACTGTGTCCCGGTAGGGTGGGGGATCTGAGATAGAGGGAAGTCGAACCGCTATCGAATAAGGGGGGGGGTAATGATAGTAAACTGTTTCTTTTGTCGATGACCTGTGACAGCCCTTATGTCCCAGCGTCTCAATCGAGAATACTATTTAAAATTAAGAGTTTCTATAATATGGTAGTTTACATATTACTTTAAACAAAAATTTAAATCACAAGATGATTCACCTGACCATCAGTTTATTTAACTAACACATGATTATTATTATTCACAGGTTTTTGAATAGCATACCCTTTATATATATATACTATAGTCATATGACAGTGTAAATGTCTATCTATACAGGGATGTGTCATTTGACCTTGTGTATGTCTGTCTATCTATCGTTCATTCAAATGTGACGGGAGTATTTATTTGCCATTTTCGGTGGTGTTATCTATTGTCGAGACAAATCAATAATTACGGTACAAATCTATCACATAGGCATTTAAGTAAGGTTTAGCGTGACAAAAAAATTTAGAAAATCAATTAATCTGCTTACATATAATAGTCGTCATATGGGGTAATTGAGATTCTGGGATTTCGTAGGCATTTGAATTAGTTTTCAGTGAAGATTTTATCATTAACAAGTCACAGAATTATTTAAAGCCATCAGCATCACTGAACAGCTAGTTCGCCCTAGTTTGATACTGTCCAGCAGTATGCACGCTCAGCGTCACTACTGGGGTTCGAACCTGCGGACTTCAGGCTGTGGAAGCCAAACTAGTTGACTGTTCACCCACTTGAACTCGTAAATTCTAGCCTCTGTCAATTCATGAGATATAGCGTTACCCTCAACCTATACTGTCGATGAGCA